GGCAACATACCACCGTCCACGAGAAACACGCGAGAACTTTAAATGAAAGGGTGGGTGATAAAGTGCTTAGGTAGTTTTGAGAGTCAACCAAACGACGGAACGTCACGAAGTTCATGGCGTGATGACGGGGTATAACCTGCCGTACGACTGCCTCGCATGACGAAGGCGATGTACTGATGCCGATAGTTTGGCACAACGTTGGTTTTCAATGTAAGTGCATGAAATATTGTCACCCAGCATACAACATGAAAACGGGGTGCTGCTTCTATAAATCATCGTCTACTGGACAAGCTTTTGAGTTTGCACCTGCACCGTGAACGCTTAGCATTGTAGTCGCATTAGGTCTATGTAAATACCTTTCAAAAACTCAGCCATTTGGGGAGGGATTATTGGAACATCTGTAAGACAACTCACAACATCTTCACAGAGTAAAATCTAATTAACTGAAGACAAGCAGTGTTAACCCTCGCATGTGTAGGGGGGGGGGGTCGGATGGACCCCCCCATGGTTTTTCGCGAATAACTCGCTTAAAAAGCGGCCGATCGCGACGAAACTTTCAGTACCCTCGCATTGATCAATTTGACACCTACCCTGAAAATTTCATGACCCTGACCCAAATGACCTTTGACCTGTGACCTCTTTTCCGAGACCATGTTTGGCTGGAATCGCGATTTCGCGTATGTCGGCTCGCACTAGCCGCGTGTTTGCAAGCTTTTCGTGGTTTCAAACGTTCAAACATGTGATTTGATGTTACTCCCGTGTGTGTCAAGGTCACCTGAAGGTCATGTCAGGTCATTGACCTTTGGTGACCTCGGGTGACCTCGGGTCACTTTTTCGAGTTTTACATGTTTCTAGGCTAGTTTTTGGAGCTGAATTCGAATTTAGCAACCATTTGAACATTTACGAAGTAGTTTTGGTGACTTCGTAACATGTTACGAAGCTGTCAGAGGCGGTTGATACGTACTACGAATACCCGTCACGACGCCTACTGGTTGACCTGACCTGACCTGACCCGACCTGGTCTAAATGCTTCAAGACATCATCTGTGATCAAAACTAACACGATATTCGTGATCAGCACCCCGAAAAACCCCTTAGCAGCCACACTTTACGACTTTCTAACAGGTCCCGATTTTCCCGACTTTGGGTCATTGACCTGACCTGGAAGGTCAACCAATGACCTAGGACCTTAAAATTGGGTATCATCGGCTTCCTCTCGTCACGGGCAACACGCTCGTTTTTTTCCGCGAAGCTTTAGCTCGATCAGGGGCCAAACGGCAAGGGGGGGGTCCAACCGACCCCCCCTACACATTAGAAGCTGGCAAACGCCGCACACATGCGAGGGTTAAGGAAAACTAAGGAATAACAAACCTTGTTCTTACAATGTGCGCTGGTATCAGCTGTGCTCTGTGTCGCCTTTCAGGCCTCATTTCCGGCTGGGCGCGTGTGCTCTCGGCGGCCCCTAACGAGCTTACGTAATGCACGCCGGCCGGTGATGGGTGTTGGACGCCGAGGCTCGATATGAAACGGGCCGTCGACCAAAGGTTAATCGGCCCCGTCGTCGGACCGGTGGCCGATGAGGGGCCAGCGACGTCGACGACAGGGGACCGGAACGGAGCGAGACGGCCGACAGCACCGACAGCGGCGTGGCGCCGTCGAGCAGCCGCACAGGGTCAACTCAATCGAGAGTCGAATCAATCAGAGACTGGTGCGGGAAATCACACAAACCAGTCCGCTTGGGATACTGAGAGTGTGGTCGATGACGCTCATGTGTCGGATAGCCAGGTCACAGTGTCTCTATAGCATTTCTTGGAAAAACACTTCCTTGGCAAAAGTACCAGAATTTCCATTCCACAGTTTGCTATTGCCAGAAAAGGAGCGTAAAACCACTACAGACGCCACCACAACTGCATGACGAAACATCATTTTTCGTTGTTTTCAGCTGTCCCGGACAAGAGCTGTCCAAGTGCCGGCCCACGACCATATCGGCCACGGGTGGGACGCCCACTGAGCGACGTGCTGCGACGCTGGCGGAGCCGCGGCGAATTGGAACCCCGTCCGTCCATCCCAGGAGTCGTCCATTTACAGCACGGATGGATCATAAGTCACTGAGCCGAGATTGCTAGGCCAGATGAGACTCCAATTGATGGTCCAAATGGAGGTCATCTGGTAGGTGCGTGACGCTATCACATCTCCACTTGGCTAAAGGTCCTCAGAATCTGCAATCGATACCGATTGGGTACCTGCATTGCTGGATATATAATATATGCCATAAAGTTTTGCGCAGTTATTGAGACGGTAGGTAAAACATAGATGAAAGACATGATTATTGGATATAGACAACATCGTAAAAGTCCGGGCCATTTATGGTTGAAAACAAACCAGCATAGCATTTGTGGGAAGTTACACTTATCAAACACAATAACAAGCTAGGCATCCTTTCTACAGTAGCTAGGAGTTCCGATATGCGTCATCGCTCTTTATCGCTAAGGTTTGCTCCTCTCGGGTGCCCCATCCCGTCTCCCCAGCCCTGACGGCGCACAACGCAGGCAGACGCAGCTCGCGGCGCCGCGCCGCGCCGGCGGCGGCTGTCTCCCACGGCTAATGATTTACCTTGGGGTCGTTTGGGGGTCCGGAGATACACCATCGACGCTGGCGCCGTGTCGGAAATGGACGGACCTGGCTGGGGACGCACAAAGACGGCCGGATGCGCTTGGCACGAGGCACGCAGACGCCTGGTGGGAACAGACGCATCGTCGGGGAGAGACGGGCCAGACGGGAGACGGGCGGACGGAGAGACGCACAGACGAGAGGCGGCAAGGACCACCAGACGAAGGTGAGGAGACGAAGAGACGGGGAGAGGAGACGAAGGCACTCGGAGACGGCAGAATGCATTCCATATTTTTGATGCAGGAATGTTCATCAGTTTTCAATAACAAGTTCCAAGTAGGTTCTCCCGGTCATCAAAGAGTTCTAAAAAAAACTAAATGGTGAACAAGCACCTAACTGGTATGTAGACTAGGTCCATCCCATTTTGACGACGTGAAGTCAATAAGCTGCTGCACACATATGATACAGACGCCGCTGCCGCGCCCTGGGGAGTGTCTAACTGCGTGGCCAGACTTATGTTCCCATGGCGTCCCGTCGGCCGCCTCTTTGACAAAACGATAGGCCCAGCGGGCTCAGGGTGGCAATGAACGACCACATATAGCGCGCTATCGAGACGTTATCGGATCAAATGGCCCCTCCGGAGAACAGCTCCAATAGAGCCATCTTATGTTGGGCCTTCCGTATCGAAACGATGCAAATGACATTAAATTGACTTGCGATGTAATATTTTACATAGATGAGCAGGGGCAGAAGGATATAGAACAAGTTTCTGATAGGCGAATGCCAAGGTCCGCTAGATGTTAGCCACGAAGATGATTATTTACTTACCCTTATGCTCTTATTTTGTCTGTAGGCATCTAATGCAATATTTAAAAACAACACATCGCAAATGCCATAAGTTAAATAGCTTGTTGGCTACCACACGAATAGTTAAGTCGTTATTTTCCCCGAGCTGGAAAAATGTGTAGTTGTGCTAGCCTGCGGCGCAGCGTCTAAGTATTGGTTTATTTTATTTTGCTTTCAGCACTAATCAACGGGATATCGCTGCGGCGCGGCTGGGGCTGGCAGCGCGGCCTGAAAAGACTTCCCGACCATTAATGTGCCGCCGTAATGAAAACGCCGTAGTTGGTACGACCCTAAAAGTTTGCCAAACTTTGCCTGTCGGCCTTTCGGCACAAGTTTGGCCACAGTTTTACATTTCGAGCATAATCCAGCAGCCGGAAAGTGCTGCTTGTCGACATGTGGATGATTATGCATATCGGATGGCCGGCTAGGTGCGGTGGAAATATTCAAAAAGAATCCAAACTGAAAAGGCAGTGGAGGTGGTGCGTATATGCAAGATATAAAACACAAGTGAACGGAAGGGCAGCAAATTAGCACGCTGTAAAAAGAGGTTGCAAAACGAATAATTACTGTCTCAGGATACGTCAAAAGCAAGTAATATTTCGTTTCCTTGGAAATTTTGAATAATTAGAACGACTCACCAGTCACCAAGGACGGAGGAGAGATACATACCTATAAATAACTGTTACCCGAGGTCAAAGGCTCTGTCACTGCGTACCTGTGGTGAGAGACAAAAGGCCATCTGGCGCTGGTCACATATTAGTGGAAACACGTGGACATAATTCAATTTCCTAGCTGGTCATAATTCTTAGCGTGAATTGTGATTGGCTCCGCTACCGCTAATGCGGGGCAGCTGCACACCAGACGGTCGTCTCAGCCCAACAGCTGAACACCTTAGTATCCCATGGCCCTGGAGTTGCCTCAATAGGTAGCAGGGGCTTGTGTTTGTTTTGTTTGTTTTGTTGGATTAGGCCCTTTCGGTCCAATGACCATTGCAGAGCCGGAAGGATGATAGGAATTAAGGGGGAAACATTGGTTAGGTTAGGTCTGGGCAGGCACCCCAGGGATTCGTCGAGGCTGAGCCCGTCTGTTAGGGACAGGCCACCCAGCCCATGCCCCCCCCCCCCCCCCCCCCAGCACTCCCTGCACCCGGCTACGGGTGGCTCCCTCAGGAGCTGCGGTGCGCTCCAAGGGAGCAGCCCGCATCATGGGATAAAGTTGCCTGTCCGGTCCGGAGGGGGGTTGCGGCGTGGAGGAGGATTACAGTATCCTGAGGATAGATATGACGGAACGAGTGATAACGGGGGCCTAACGTTATTCCAAGTCAAGTCACCGCAGAGCAAAACATGCAAGCAAGTAAGAAGTGACGGAGTAGCGCCACCACTGCTGGCGTGTACCTACGGAACTAGAGGTTCAGCCATTAGCCGCCAGAGTGCGGCTGATAGCCCTTTCCTGCCTCAAAGTCAAAGCTGTATGGGCTGTGGTAAGCTCACTATCGTGTTTTGGTGCTAGTTATTTATTTTGACTGTGCAAGTGCAAATGATAGAATGCAAGTGGGGCGCTTTATTGAGTACAGTAAATGTACAGGTACCTGTTCGTTCATTGTCAGACACGGCTCAACCTTTTCCAATGTTGTCATTTGTTACATCGGTCTCAAGACAAGAGGTATTTAATGGAACGCTTGTAGGTACCTATATTATTAATTCATTGCAAAGTTAACACCATCTTATTCATCATTGGCGTGACTAGCATCGTCTTCACAGTTAAAAATACAACAGTACCAAGTCCAACACAATTTCTACCTACTCACATCACATTCACATATAGCGTTCAACGACTACCGTAACTTCCGTAAGGTGGGGCTATTTGGGACAGTGTGTAGTTAGTGGTTTAGCAAAATTGCTATATAACCATCATTTTTTTTGTTATTTTTGCTCAGATTGGTGTGCTTCAATTCGCCGCTCGATTGCATACCGTGATGAATCGAGCGGTGAATTGCCAGAGCAAAAATTGCAAAAAATGTCAAACGGTTTTCGTTTATATAGCGATTTTACTTAAGCATTACATACAGACTTAAATAGACCCACTGTCTCAAATAGCCCCACCTCACGGTGACTAAAATATAAATTGCAGGATATAGATAATACAGTGCAAATACTGATAAGGGTGCAAATGACGATGCGGTTTTTACACATGTGATATACTGCATTGACAAATGTACAAGCAATTCACTTGTGACACTAGTGTCACAACTTGCGTCACCTCCGAAGACCGATGGTCGTTTCTGTTCCGCAGAGATATCAGTGACCCAAACACTTGATAAACATTGGTCCATGTTCGTAACTGCCACTCAAATATGTCCCATATAGACCGTGCACAGTTGAGGTCCGGTTCTTATTATGCACATGTGTCATTACACTGTGGTAGATCAGTGGTCCGTTGTCCGTGCTGGCTACGCGTCATAAGCCTCGTACTCGGGCAGTGGCGCCGGCGATCTTCGAGAGAACTCTACCATCTTCATCATACCGTTGCCCTGGGAAAACATATCAATATAAGGAGGCTTGAAATGATCTCACGCATGTCAAAGTGTTTTTATTTTAGGCAAAATAAATATCTAAAACAGTAAAACAGTTTTACTGTTTTAGATATTTATTTTGCCTAAAATAAAAACACTTTGACATGCGTGAGATCATTTCAAGCCTCCTTATATTAATAATAATCATGTCATCCATCCTCGCCCACATAAAAACATATCAACACGCAGTCAGTGCTGCATTCAAACTTATTGTATTGTGTTCATCAAATTATTGTGGACACGAGTAAACAGTATAGCTTTCCGGGCTTGGAGACGAGATACTCTTTAAAAAAAAAGTATAGCTTTCCGGGCTTGGAGACGAGATACTCTTTCATGTTTTATTTACCTCGATTCCCAGGCAAACGCAATGTAAAAGACTAAATAGTACGTGCATCATACCCTATGTGAAAAAGACTTCGTCGTCTGCTAATCACAGCTTATCACGTACCTACTCGCGGAGCTCCGATTAGTTTGCACAACCTAATCAAAGAGCTGCCCGTGTCCAGACTCGCATATGATCGAGCCCACCCTGCCTAACGCCACCGGAAGAGCAGATGAGAATGAATGTACACATCCGGGGACGGTGCGTTAGATACACAGCGACGAACGTAAATATTTGCCGGGATTTGCCAGACCACTTACGATATTAGCCAGCGCTACGCCTTGCACGGAGTTGTATGTGTGAGCTACTTTATGCATTGATCAAAGCAAGATAACGTGCGTGACAGCACGATACCGTAGCCTCAGAACTTCTATCAGTTTTATCGAAACAAAAATAACTATACCACGCAGTGAGGCGACGGCTGTGCGTTCATTAGCTCGCGGCTGACATCACACACATACGAACCTCCGGGTCCTGGCAGGGTGTGAAGCAATACCGGCCTGCGACGGCGTAGTGGGAGTCGCCGTGACCCGACTGAAGTAGAGAGCACCGCCGTAAGGTCACGGTCACCACACAGGCGAGGAAGGGACGGGGGCAGAGTTACTGAGACTAACATAACGGCTTGGACGGGGGACCGAAACAGTGGACTTGAGACATCGCAAACCCTGAAACAGGAGCAATATGACAGTGTAGATAAATCGTCGAATCACCGATGAACCTTTGTGAGTCCGGTCTACAAGGGCATTTAAATCAACAGTCAACACTGTTTTGAATGAGGAAAATTCAGCAGCTTTCATAAAATCCGAGTCTACATAAAATAAACGGAGGCTAAATGTATATTAGTCGAATTAATTGCCAAATTAGAAACCATTAAGAGCGTAAAACAGTCATGAGTCATCACTAATCCCTACAATGCCCATGCCATAGGAGCGCACCTGACTGCCGTTGAGGGGCGGGTCGTGCGCGCCTCGGGGCATGTCGGGCGCCGCCGGGGTCAGGCACCGGTCGCAGTGGCGGGTCAGCGCCGGCCGCTGGTGGGACGCGTGGCACCGCATCGCGAAACACAGCTCCTCCAGCATCTCCGAACAGAGCGATTGCTGCCGGGCGGAGACATGGAGATGTTACCGACGGTTTGGGGGAAACAACCTGAGAGATGTGTGACATGTCACACAGTTGAAAAATAGGTGTGGTCGGACGTTGACTTTGGAGAAGCAGCGTCAAATCAGAGATGACGAACTCCCTGTTTGTCTTGGCCTAGTTACGGTTTTAGCATATAGACAGGCACTTGAACACGAGGGATTTGGGTAGACATGCATCCCTCGCGCATTCACGCTTAGCGCATGTGGGTGGAGCCGGCGATTGACACAATCACCCACCAGGCGCGACAGACAGGAAGCTGTCAGTCGGAATGCAGGTAGTAAATAGCTTGATGCAACACTTGTTGACATCGGCGATAGCGATAGTGGTCCTTGAGCATTGCACCATTCACCTTATCGTAATAGCAAACAATGGCGCCAATCATAACAAGATCGTCGGCCTCATCCGGCGCTGCAATAAGGAAATTCTGCATGACTTGAGTTTTCTGGTCGGTGTTAAGGGGTGAATTTTAACATATACACAGGTCTCTGTGACGTACATTGCTGACGTTTGTGACGAAGTCCATGGTTTGTCGTCATACCATCCGTTCATACCTTGTCCAGCTGGGCGTTGCGTTTCGCCGTCCAGCAGAACTCGACAATGGCCACACACACGGCGAACGCCAGGCCGCAGAGCAGCACCACGAACACACCGCCTGGGGAGCAAAGGGAGACACGGGCCAGAGACGGGGTCAGCAGCACCACGAACACACCGCCTGGGGAGCAGAGGGAGACACGGGACAGAGACGGGGTCAGCAGCACCACGAACACACCGCCTGGGGAGCAGAGGGACAGAGAGACAGGGCCGGGATCAGCAGCGGGACCGAGAGACAGGGCCGGGGTCAGCAGTGGGACAGAGAGACAGGGCCGGGGGTCAGGGCACGGCGGCGCGGTGGGCGGCTTTGTCACCGGTATAGGTACTATCAGCGTTATAACGGAGCTGCAGGGTCGACGTTATCAGGGCGGAGGACAATGAACTATATTTGGTACCTCGTTATTGTTGTACTCCAGAGATAACTGCAATTGTACTCTAAGAAGCTTTATTGGAGAGTATCGGATGCAATTCGTGAATAACTCGTATAACATCTTCCCTGCATCATTGAGCCTCATGACTTAGCCTCATGCGGCGGGCTGCAATCCCGTCCAACAGACCAACAGGCCCGCCCTGGGGACGGATTGACCGCTGTCGGTGGCGCCCACCTATGTTAGCGACGCCCAGCTCGCTAGCCTTGGAGCCCTTGTTCTTGTCGTCTCGGTTGCACGAGTCGGCATTGTCCTTCCACCACTTGTTGTAGAGCGTGTGGATGACCGCCTTCTCCTGCAGCTCCAGAATGGCCAGCGAGATCGGGTCCCGCCACGGCGACCCTGAAATCGACGTAATAATACCTCATCACACGTGACTTCAGACATCATTTATCATTGACATTCACAGCATCATATTTGTGAAGCAAAAAAGTTCATAAAAAAAAAACTTCAGGCGCAGGAAAACCCACCCATGGTTGTTGCGATGCCGAACCCCTTCGAGTCGAGCAGTCCTCCGATCTGCGTCAGGTTGCAATTCCTGTTGACGATGTAGTCGATGGTGTTGGACTCGGCGAGGAAGGCGTAGTTGCCCTCCAGTACTCGCTCGATCCCCTCCTCGTAGGTTTTCGTAAACACGGACGGCTTCTTGTTCTCCATAAACCGCCACATCTTCTTGTACGTGTCTATTTTGGAATCCTGCAACAGAAATATTACCTGTGATCAGCTGATGTGGCTGCATATGCAGATGGCACTTTGGTACTGATGGGAATAACTAAAGTCATCGTCACTGATAATGGGAATAATGCATATTTTCAGGTTATATAGCAAATGTAATATATTTTTTTTAACGACAAAAGGATATTTGTCAACATTTGCGTTGATTCTATCATTGTGCTTTGACTTTTTACGATGAACATGACATCAATCGTAACGTTTCAACATGGTCAATGATTCAGACACGAGCCGTTCCCTTTGTAGATAATGCCTAAAGGCAGGCGCTTGCTTACCCTGAAGAAGGTGAGCGTGGACCCTCCCTCCAGAGTGCCGTAGCTGATTTCACTCTGATCGGCCAGACCCTCGGCACTCTCTGAAACGTAAGAGACAAGATCATCGTGACGTAACTACCAGTTATCATTGAGATCAGCAGCCCCTCGGTACTCTCTGAAACATAAGAGACGAGATCATCTTGTGGTAATTGATCTCCAGATCGACCAGTCCCTCAGTACTCTAGTCTGTAACATCACAAACGGATAGACGACACCTTGGGTCTGAGTGCAGTACTTTGCTACTAGCGTTTGGATTATAATAAAAAAAACGCCTAGGTATGTTCCTAGCTAGGCACTTAGCTTACCAATCGGTGTAATCATTCTCTCGACTGTGAGGAAGGCTGCCAGATTCGCAGTGTATGACGAAATGATAATCAGCGTGAAGAACCACCAGATACCACCAACAATTCTCGTCGATAAGGCCTATAAAAAAGAAAAAAAATGTAACTGTAACAGCTGGAAGCTGTGACATTTTTTTTCTCCGTACATCAAAAAGGACATCTCTCACACTCTATACGTAAGGACGATCGCACTGCCTGCCGCGGCGCTGAGCCGGCGTGGGGAGGGGGTCGACCAAACGATCCCCGACTCGTCGGCCGGTCACCATTAAGCGAAGATCAAAGGCTCGCCGAAGGGTGGAGTACAAACACACCCATCCGGGCCGGCGCAGTGGCCGCCGACAAACGCAACGCAGCCGGAAACAGCTGCTCCCGGTGCTGGACCAGCCTCCCGACGCCTGGCGCCACGCACATCCTGCCGACGCAGCTGACAGGAAGGTGGGAGGATGTCGTTGCGGTCAGCCGTCCGGCACAGGCAGGGACCGACATCCGGCGAAAATCGAGTGTGAAAACGTCATCCGGCAGGAGACAGCTGAGACGGATGAGCCGAGCAAGTGAGGATGACGTCACGTTCCGGCGGAATGGAGGAGGAGGGCGACGGTCTCGACTCCGGATGCGAGACGGGATGTCGCCAATTTTCTGCCCCGGTCAGCGAGGCCCGGCGACGCCCGGAACCTCCGGCCCGGAAATCACAGGAGAACAAAAACTCAATGCAGAAGGAGAAGGGATTCAGACAGACCCGAGACCGACCACCGGAGGCCGACCACCAGACAGAACGCCTCGGGACTCGGCGCGGGACACCGCCCCGCCCAACTTCGGCCGGAGCGGCTTCTCTGCTGATCGGATCATCACTGCACCGGACCTCAGCTGGAGTGGACAGCAATCATCAAACACTGTCAAGTGAGTCATCTCATCTGTCCGCCTCATCAAGACTGCCTCCCCGTCATGGACAATTCACCTCCCATTTACCCATCGGATGTCTCTGATCTGGATTACAAATGCCACTCCCTGGGGTCTAACCTGAGCCACCATTAGAGGGTAATGGATTTAACATCGTGGGAGTGTTATTCGGCAGGGAAGGGAGGGCAGATGGTCGCTACATTCCGCTCCCGACCGAGCAGCGCGGCAGTGGGGCGTCTGTTTGTAAAGACGGGGAGGGGCTAATGGGCCTGACTGGTCCGGCCTTGTCTATGGGATAGACAGAGGGGTTAGAGGGACAGGGTTAGTAATGGTCAGTGTAGGCTAATGGCTCACCATTACATTGGTATTGGGGTGGCACTATCTGTCGGCCATCACGCGCGCGGTCCGGCCGCAGTGGGGTGTGGGATTCGAGGGGAGGGGAACAGGTCAGGTGGTATCATTTTTGGGGCGCTGGTCACCATTGACGCGTCAAACTACGTCAGATGACGTCATGACAGTTCAATTGGCGATGTTTGTAATTAATCTTTTTTTTCGCGGTGAGGGAGCTAGGATTAGGTTTAAGGCTAGGTTTGTATCGAGAATGGCGAGTTGACTATCTCGATCGCAATGCACCGTTTAGGACTTGAGCTTGACCACTGCTGTATCGCCCGTTTGTAAATATAGCGTGAAAATTTAACAATCTGTCTGGGAAAAAAAAAGAAGGGAGGGTTACTCCAGATATGTTGCTGATTCGGATTCACAGAGACCGCTAACGTAATTATCATTGAGTCGTCATCGTCGATCACACGGCCTCACGCCGGCCTCACACCACAGGTTCACCGGAGTTAAATGGGACTACGCCACGGCCGTCTGATCATCAATCAACGGAAATGCAATGATCACCCCTCACGACGCGACCATCACAGATACATTTTTTTTTTTTGAAGCTAGCAGGTCAGCATAAGTTGTTTCATAATCTAACTAGTTTGAACTCGGTAGGCCAGCGTATCAATCCATTGTCAATCTAGTGTTAATTCCAAGTCTGTCAATCGATTCTCAATTCTTACAAGTGCTATTCGAGATAAATCGACGGTCAGCGTAGGATCGCCACATTCCTGGGACAGATTCACCATTTGGATAAGGTTTGATACGAAGGCGGCCCAAGAAGTCGTGACGTGTTCAGTTACATTCGGATAAGGAGAGTAAACATAAACATCAAACATTATTCTGCTCCTTCGGCAGCTCAGCGCCAGAACAAGAACGCTGGGGGTCTGAATCGCCTTCCGGGTTGTTATTAAATCAGCATTGAGTCGTTTCGTGATTCGCGTTCATATAACCGATACAAATCTGAATCACCTTTTCAATCGTTATAAATTTATCGCTGTTCGTAACCTGTCAATCAATCCCCCTTTCTCTCCTAGCATTATCAGTACCTAACGGATATTGATGCCAGCTCCCCCTTCGAGGTATATCAAAGAATAACGTGGAAATGTTACGGTTGCTAAATTGATGCATCATTTGAGACAATGGATCATAAACATCAAGCGAGTTACCGTTCAATGTGACGTGATTATGTCAAAAATGTCACCCTGCTTGCACACGCCTAGAGTTGGTTACGGAGGGAAGCGAGAAATTACCGCAGCTCATGTCCTTCATGTAGAATAAAGAATTTGTTCTATTCAGGTCAGATTGTCCCCAGGCCACCTTACTGAACGAGATGCAGATCCTAATTAGCTGATGTTGGACCTGTGAGCTTTTCTCTAAACTGAGCGATTGTAGTCCGCGCGAAATGAAAAATGTATGACATTGACCTTAAACATGACCTTAAACAATTAACAGGTCAATTGACGCACCAACGGTAGCACCACTAGCGCCACCTACAAGATCCATTGCCTTCGGCACAAACTCCGACAGCGCTCAGATGCAGCTGACAGTACTAGCAGTGCCGCCTAGCGTGAAATAGACCAAGCTGGTTCCCTAAACTGCCGCAAGAGGTCCCTCGTGTCGGCACGCAATTGCGTGTGACTGACTGAAATGAGTGGGTGAGTGAGAGGGCGAATGTGAATGATCATAGTGAGAGAGAGAGAGAGAGAGAGAGAGAGAGAGAGAGAGAGAGAGAGAGAGAGAGAGAGAGAGAGAGAGAGAGAGAGAGAGAGAGAGAGAGAGAGAGAGAGAGAGAGAGAGAGAGAGAGCGAGAAGGTGAGTGAGCGAGAGAGTGAGTAAGCGAGAAGGTGAGTGAGCGAGAGAGTGAGTAAGCGAGAGAGTGAGTGAGCGAGAGAGAGAGAGAGAGAGAGAGAGAGAGAGAGAGAGAGAGAGAGAGAGAGAGAGAGAGAGAGAGAGAGAGAGAGAGAGAGAGAGAGAGAGAGAGAGAGAGAGAGAGAGAGAGAGAGAAAGAGGGAGGAGGATGTCGAAGCAAAACGTTTTAATTCAGTCTTTACAAAGATCGACCCCATAAATGAAAGCTTTTGGTACGAATGAGATGCGTGGCACTCTACTGCCACCTAGCCCGTGTAACCTACAACTACATCCACTAGGCGGCGCCAAAAGCGTCGATGAGTCGACGCTCGATGAGTCGATGAGTCGAGAATGGTCGCCGGTCAGGTGTGGAACAAGGTCATATCCCCGCTAAGCTCATAATTACAAGCATTTAAAAATGGTTATCATCTAACTCTCTGCGTTGGCTTAAATTACAGATATCGTATAGATTCGATGAAATATCTTTTGTTTAAAGGACTCAGAGCAATAACAAACCAAAGGTCTGAGTTTCAACTTCGTTTCAACATCTAACATATGAGGGAATCAAACAAGATAGCTTTTGATCACAGGGCACATTCTCAAATGATCTAAATAACATTTAGTGATCATTGCATTGAAATTACACTTAATTTATCGTAAACATCCGAGTAGGGTATGATACTTCATTGCAAATCAGTAGGCAAGGTGTGAATTGCTAATGTAGACCAGAGGAAGCCAAGGGCGTGGGCAGTAGATCTCACATCCAGTCCCGTCGGATTGGAGAGCGCTGGCCCAGCAAGCCCTCAGCTCAGCGGAATCGCGAACAATGCACAAACATGGACCTGCTGAGAGAAACGAATTATCTGGTAAGACAGCTGGACGAACCCCTCTTTCAACGATTGACCCACGCTGACCTCAGTAGGAAGGCGGACAAATTTGCGGGTGGTCAAAAAAGGGGGAGAAATTGACAGCAGTCACATACGATCAAAATTTTAGTAAATCTTGGTGAACAACTCTACGGTCTAAATCTGGGAGAAACAGGTTACCTTCGTCAGTCGAAACCAAACTCTACATCGCGAGTCAGGTTAACATTAGATTAGCAGACAATTATAGGCTAAAACAGGAATGGGGAAATTAATTGTGTTATGATTGAGCGCGCATCACTAAAACTTTGACATTGCCACCCCAAGCCTAGGAGAACAGTCATCTCATGTCAAGCGTGGTGTGAAAAGCTACTGACAACTGTACTTATACGAAGTTTTGGAGGGACACACTGAAATTTATGAATTCAGATGATAAATCAGTAACATGCAACAATTCAAGTCATATTATTCCCAGTAACATCCCTTAGTTGATCTCTTTCTATTGACATGATCTATTGAACATGGAATTTCAATGTCAATGACCATTGACCCCTCAGGTCACACTAATCTCATATCTGGCCTTGGATGCTAGCAAAACAGTTTCAGACCAGTGCGGTTTCACTTAAAAGGGATATCCTGGAATTGAAATTTATAAGGCATCATTGAACATGACAAACTTTGTCAGATGGCGGAACAGATACAACGAAGGGCTGTCTATCGGATTGTCCTCTATCCTGGACAGCTACCTTGACTGAGATTATAATAGCAGGTTTGCCAGCAAAAGTACCCACTAGGTAAATAAATCAAATTACCATTAACACTGGAGAAATGGCAATGAGCGTACTATTGATTACACCAGTCTTTGCCGAGCCATCAATTTAGTTTGAAATTAGCACCATTCTCCATTGGACGGTTCCCATTAGCTTGTTAAAGTTACTGCTCTTGCCTTTTTTTAATTTAGTCTGAATGGGTGAATGGGCAGAGTTGAGAAATCAGAGCTCGCACTAAGCATAGCTTGTTGTGCTGAACTCGGCCTGCCAACCGACCGCGCAATTCCAGTTGCATAGCATAAAATTGTCAGAAAGTTTAACCTGTCCTCAAGACTGGAAGTGGACACAGTCCCCGCTTGATTTGATATAACCATTTCTCATTGCTGATGTTCCCACTCGAATAATTGGATATCACATTTGCCAAAATTTGTATACCTTCAACAACATAGCAATCGGTAAACCGAGCTTCCTTAAATTAGAACACCACAAGTCGATTGCCAATTGCAAGTTAATAAATCATCTGGTCGAGTATGTCAATAAAATCTGCATTATAAAATTGACTCTCATAAATCGGTTCAGTAAGATAACAGGAAATCACATGAATTGGATTGTTTTTAAATCGAAATGCAAAATTGAGACTAATCCGGCGCACTACCTTAGAGTTCCCTTGATGCAAATACTTACGACCCCAGAGAAATTTGCGACAGCGTGGCGAGGGACGCCAGTCAACAATCCACATAAAAATATTCATGATCACAAATGATTGGGCACTACCGAGAATTGCTTCATTGAAACCACGGGGAACACTCAAGAGAGTCAAGTTGAAATTCCGACCAAAAGTTGGCGTGTCCAAGGTTAGACGATGAGAAGTCAGGATGTACCAACCGCCGACGACACGAGCTTATGACGTCATTACTGATCAACAAGTGTAAACACAGCCTGTTTCCTGGAATATGACGTCACTGAGTGAATATAGCAAGCTACGGTGGAGACGTTTCGGCTGATAGGCGTAAATATCGTGTAGATGAAAGGAGTAGTAGATGGTCTGAGTATTTGGCGGCGCAGATTTCTCTATCCAATGATTTTTTTTTGTGTTCATGTCGCGGGAAACAAATGACTCGTACCGCGCAGCGGTGCGCACATGGACTGAAGGGATTCTACGGATCAGACAGGTAAGGAGATACAGAAGGAGTGACTCTGAAGTGGTCGATAGATATTGAAACCGGAATTACACAAGGAGGAAAAGATCTAAGGATGGATGCTAGCCGAAGAGGAGGTATGTTGCAACACTTTCATGTGTTTTTGACTCTGCTGATACGTCTAAGTCTACTAGGATCGGAACTGTCTCACGTTACGGAAGAAGTAAGTATGTTAGGCAGATATCGGAACGAAGAACGCCATAAGACGCCCAAGCTGAGAGGTGGGTCAGAGAGAGACGGGGCGAGGGAGCACCCCGCCCAAGGTGAGTGACAAATACGAAGAAGATGATAGAATAATAAGGCGAGGAGTAATACCGCCGGGATGAGGTAAGTGATAAGTCCACCGTCGGAAAGATCGCAGCATACATCACTCATGACGCTAACGCGCTTGAAAACACATCTGCAGGACAGAATTCCACGGCGTCGGATAAAATTGCAGGATAGATTCAGTCATGGAGTCTTTCGAATCACACCGGTCAATGATTCAAAGGCGCCACTTGCGGGTGCCATGACTGCATGAGAGTACTGAGTAGGTGCCTGTCTATGAGCCCGGTGAGACTGCGGTCGTCGGGGTAGCAGGCTTGTGTCCACCGGTTCGTTGGGTGAAAACGCGTAAGACGGTCTCTCACAGAAGGGCTGCAAGGGTCAGTAACCAACGTCCGGCCGCGGGGTTTTAGTAGGGAAACAGAGATGTGCCGTGAGCGGCAGAGGTTGACGGACCAATCATAAGCCACCGAGGAACGCTAATAACTGACGCTACCCGCGTCGATCTTAAGACAAGTAATCGGGGTCAAATGATGTAGGTGTTCGAAGAGAGTGGGCCGGCAGAGATTGATTGAACCAATCACACCCATCGACGAACGCTAATAATGTAATCGCTACCTGCGTTGCACCTTTAGACAAGTAATCCGGGTCAAGTGATGTAGGTGTTCGAGGATATTGGGCCAGGGAGCCCAAGAGGTGCTAGGAAGAGCACACACGATTCCAATGTTGGAATGTGGCGCGATAAGTCGTTGGGAGGTAAGAGTAAGCCTAGATGAAATTCACACTAATCACGGAGTCTATTGAACAAATTGCGTTTATTGTCCCTGATATGTACCGCTGGAGGGAGTTAGAATAATTGCTGGGAGGGACTGAGAGGTCGACGCGAGATCAAATTTATTGTAGTGGAATGAGAGAGGTATGACAAAGAGAGTGGGTCTGAGGGAGATTGAGGTATGCGTCATATAGTGTAAGGACCAGCGGGAGATCTAATCTCAGCATTGAGGGCGACATTAAATGGGGATGTACTCGATTACCTTTGGGATGATAGGCATTAGAAAGGGAGAGAATTGTGGGTAGCTATCAGGTATCAGATGGTGGCTTCAGGTTATGTCCTCAAGGGAGGCATCAAAATTATATACTTTGGGGAGACTTCCGTGTCCTAAATTCCTTATGAGACAGATACCATCCTAGGCAGTGAAGACTATATGTTGACAAGCGACAAGCCAGCCTCATTATAAATATTGTTTGTGACGAGCCCCAGGCGCAAGGAACGGTGGCGGAAAGGAATCGGTCAGCTTGAAACCAACGGACCGATCATCAATTGAAAATGGGTGTGCAATTGCGTTTGAACAAGAGAGAAGTCAAACAGCAAGAAAATCAACTCGTTAATCAACCATTTGAGGATCTACCAGTCGAAAACACTCACCTGAGGTTGTTCCAGAGCACGGCGCAGGTCGGCAACCATCTCGGAAAGAAAAACACCCCCGATGAAAGAAATTTTATTAAACAATATATTTTTTTTTTTGAAAACATACTCCCCACCGCTTCCGGACCCCCTGGGGGCACTCATCACATAACCGTAGGTATTGGCATGAATTGACTTGACTCACCCAATTTTCCACACACATTCGCATATATAGAATGAAAAGGTCGCGTGATAGGCGAAAGCAGCTTCGTAGTCAACTAACTTCACGCTGTTTGAATGTTAGAAACTGTCACACTATCTCTTTTTTGTGAGCGAGTTGATACGTGACACTTGTAGGACGCTGGCAAACTTAACTGCTTCCTTTTTGGTCTCGGACTTGTGAAACTTTATGTTGACCCTTTTTCTAAAGATCTCAGCTGTCAGAGTGATTAGTGAACAATAAACACGCTTAAACATACTTTTTTGAACAGTGATCGTCAATCTCGTCTAAAAGCCACCACACGAAGGTTTCGCATTAACTCCGATATTATGTTCTAAGACACCGGGTAATGAAAGCACGGTGGTGGAGAGGTGCCTGTCGGGTCTCCTTTCAGTGCCTAACGTCTTCAGAGCAGCCTTCCGCTGCAGGACTGCATGATTCCCAAAGACAGGCAATTAGCCCGGAGGAGTTGATCCTGCGAGCCGAGGAGCCTCTCTGAACTACGACCGCCTAATAGCCGCCCCGGCATCACCCAGATATGCAAATGTAATGGCGATACAAACAAGTCTCCCGGGGGACAGTCGTTCAAAGGTCAAAGGCACTGAAACTGTATCAACTAGAAGTGTCAGCAGCAAATAGAGGGAGGGGACGGACTCACGGGACACAGTCGCAGTCCCAGAGACGCGATAAAGGCCACTGATTGGTCTGTCAGTCACTGCTGCTGACCCCTCCGGAGTCCCGGACCATCATCCCCAACCCCTCGCCCTTGGGCCAGAGATCGGATGTGACTCACGCCTGTCCCCCTCCCGCGCCCACCTTGGGGTTGAGGTCGGAGCCCTGCTGCATCAGCGTGCCGATGGTGAACCAGAAGCTGTTGCTGACGCTGAACTGGTTCTCCATGACGTCGCCGGCGGCGGTGCACGGGTGCGGGTTGTGCCACTCGTACGGGCTGACGCGCGCCACCACAAACATGGTAAGCGAGACGAGCAGGTAGGCGGTCAGCACGTACAGCCAGATGTGGACCGCCAGCGGGTTCATGAACGAAAACAGCCGCGTCTCCTGGCTGGTCGGCTTCTGTCGGGGGACGGGGGTGCCGCGGCACGGAGCGGGTCAGACGGTGACACGCGGGAACATATGGCGACACAGTGGGTCATACAACGCTACATTGGGTCACAAAAAGCCACAGTAGTCATACAGCGACATAACTACAAGGCCATACGGCGACATGAATCGCACAATATGCTGCATGGCAAGGTGGCACAGAGAACGATCATACAGCAGAATAAGCCGGGGGGGGGGGGGGGGTCAGAAAAAGTTGTGAGCATCGTTACAGAAACATGCGTCGAATGTTGTCGCTCATTTGTGATCTTTTTGTGACGAGGACACTCATTGTAAAACATGCTTTCCGTTTACAGGAGCCTTGTAACAGAAACTATACTGGGTTATCTCTTGGTTTTTGTTCGTCTAATCTTTGCCTCTTTGGTCAGTGTGTTTTCCGCATCTATCTCCGCAGCGCTAGTGTGTTATCAGTGCACAACAGAACACAGTTTACGGCTGTTGGCAGGGCGCCTCTGGCCGAGACATCTCTGGTGTATTCTGACCGAGACCCAGCTGCGTGGGCAGCCGCGGCGAGAGCAGTTTCCTGTTTGTGAGCGCTCGGCGTTATGACATTACCGGCCAGGCATTAGCAGCGTGTCCGTGTGTGTATGTTGGTGTGTATGGGCAGGCAGTGTGTGGGGGCGTGTCTGCTCCGCCGGGCGTGTGGGACCACTTGGCTCGGCCCACCGCCCCCCACCGGGCGGATACGGCGTTGGGACCCTGCCACGACCCGGAGATGCGCAAGATCCGGAGGGCGATGTGTGCTGGCGGCCGCGCCGGGCCGCACAGACAGACAGACGGGGAGAGAAGGCGCTGACTCGGCGCGCGGGTTAGGGAACTGGGGCGGAGTGGACGCCCGTGAGCACGATCAAATGGATGAGGGGTGAACGAATGTCACCACAGATAAGCACTATTGTGGTGGTCGTACTCGGATTGTGCTCCTAAAGATTTTGAGTAGTCTGCTAGCCGTGTAAAGGACGCAATAAAATGCGCGGCATCGTTACATTAGGACTGGCATTTCGAACAATGTCCGACAGTCTAACAACAAGCTATATCCGTGTTCAATCCTTCGAGTGCATGGACGTCATTTCGGAGGAACTGTTTGATTAGCCGATGCGAGGTCTGTTTGAACAGTCAAAGTTTGTTGATAAGCATAATATTGATACTCGCCCGTCAAAGCATCGGTGCAATTTGATTATGCGGCTAATCGAAGACCACTTGATAGAGCTTGAGAGAGAGATAGAGCTTGAGAGAGAGAGAGAGAGAGAGAGAGAGAGAGAGAGAGAGAGAGAGAGAGAGAGAGAGAGAGAGAGAGAGAGAGAGAGAGATGTAGAAAGAGAGAGAGGGGTGAAGAAAGAGATGAAGAGAGAGGGAGAGAGATAGAGAGAGCGCGAGAGAGAAAGAGAGAGAGAGAGAAGAGAGAGAGAGAGAGAGAGAGAGAGAGAGAGAGAGAGAGAGAGAGAGAGAGAGAGAGAGAGAGAGAGAGAGAGAGAGAGAGAGAGAGAGAGAGAGGACAAAGGGAGAGAGCTGTGTGTACCTATAGAAAGTAGGACAAAATGTTTTGACTTGAAACATCGCAGTCTGATAAACAATGTCGCACATGAATATCCAGCACAGCCGATTCTTTTTTCTTTTTCCTTTTTTTTTTTTGCACAAAGACAGGCCATCCGCTAGCCCGCTTGCACGCCCTTACCTTGAACAGAATGGTGATGCCCAGGTTCATGAAGGGTTTGGTGAAGTCGATGACCGTCTCTCTGGCGTAGTTGATGGACATTGAGCCCACGGCCAGGTCGGCCTTCTGCGGGACGAAACGGGCAACATGTAGGTATTCGAACACGCGCTGCGCTTTGTTTTTTACAAGTCAGTGTTTTACGCGATCTCGAGAGATTGTGAAGGGATTTTTATAGGGGTGAAACGCGTCAATTGTTAATGAAATATTTTGACAAATTATTTGATTCATTATTCAGCAAGTAAACATGAAACATGATATGCAGCACAGACATGCTTCTCATGCAAACGACCTACTGAGTGAAGGGTGCTGACTGCTGAGACACCGAACATGCGACTGAGATACTGCAACTCAACAAATAGTTACAAATTCATCAATAAAACAAATAAAACAGTGATTGACGTGCTTCTCGGTTACCACTTATCGAAAAAATGATAGTTCGTCTGTCACCTTTTCTTGTTCAACAACCCAAACTTTCATAATCAAGCAGGACGCCCAACACTTACTTGTAGCACTGGAGTGGATTGTTTTGCACTAATTGTAATCAATATTTTCGTGGATAATCCTTTTTCTGCATCATAAAAACGTTACAGAGCAGTAAATACACCCGGCCCGTCAACAGGCCCAATACGGGGATTGGTGCGGGGCTGGCCGGTGGTTACGTCCGTTACGTCCGTCCCTCCTATACTCGTATGAGCCGGCCGATCCTCAATCTCCGTTAGGTCTGCCACACCCGCTGGTCGGAGATAAATGGCGAATAGCACTCGCAGTGAGTGTGAGGCGCCGGACACAGGTACCGAGGGAGAGCGGGTCCACCCTGAATGGCCTCAGATGGCCGGCGGAAAGGCGAGCACTCATTGGTCTTCTTTTTCTGCGCCGTGAAGAAAAATAGCCAAAGCGGCGCCCATTCCAAACGGTGTAAAGAAAAAAAACAGTGGTAAAATCGCATACGAGTCGCATGATAGCGTGCATGCATGAAGGATGCACCAATGGTCACGGCAGTTATCATAAACGCCGTAGTAACTCATTCATAAGCACCTTCTGTTATGATCGTGCAATCATAAAAAACCTCAGCATCCGAGCGTTTGCCGTGCACGCGAAACTTCCACATCATAAGCAGGCGAAAATGTACGTTAACCCGGCCGGGCCCGGGGGGTAATCCCAACCACCGCAGCCCGGGGGGGGGGGGCGTTTTTCGCCCCCCCTGTCTAACTCCGTAAATAAGGGAGCTACGGAAACAAAAGCGATACCAAACGAAAGGTCCTTACGAGAGGATTCTAATGCACCTAAAATTTTTGACCTCAGGTCAATTTTCAAGGTCAGAGGTCAAGGTCAAAGGCCAAAACCGGCACATGTGTAGTGATCTCAAAGTAAGCCTTCTAGAGGACGGCAGACTGCATCAAACCGGCAAAATTGGGTGTCAAACGAAAGAAGAGAATCTGAGAATTTCGAAAATGTGCTCAAAATCAAAGGTCAAGGTCAAGGTCACGCTCAAAACTGACCTCAAACTTGGCACTTTTTCGCACATGTTGCGTGCTAACTTCCAAGATGTTTTGAAATGCTTTGAGGCTTATCAGTTCCCTATTTGTGGTTCATCTTACGATACAAGGCTGCTCAAAGGTCAAGGTCACTGAAGAGTATCCCTGCTAGAGGCTATTTCACTAATTCAAGTTAGTAATAATAAGTAAGACAATTTTGCCATCCAGAAGCTCTAAATGAAGGCTTAGAGGAAAATAGATGCCAGATTCGTGAGCAGCGGATACAAATCCATCAGAAACGATCTTTCATGTGTCAAGGTCAACCAGAGGTCATTCGAGGTCACATGAGGTCAACCTAAAACTTGACCTTTTCCGAACAAAATATATATCATTCGACGCGGCTTGACAAGGCGAATGCGATGGTACCACTGCCGAAGCTCTAGGACTATTTTTGTCGAAGTTATTTGCGAAAAACTAAAACCACATTTCGGGGTCGTTGACCTGACCTCTGACCTCAGGTCATCAAAACTATTTTTCTATTTTTCTCTATGTCAAACGCTACACAGCCGTGCTCGTAATTTGTCTTTAACTCCAAAACTCTATTTTTAGCAGCTATTTGAAGTTTGCGTCTGTGACGCCGAAGTTTGCCGTGCAGGGGTCTAGAAAAATGGACCTTGTGACGTCATCAAGGGGGCTAGGTTCAAATTTTTTGCTTCAGAAGATGTCAAATTGGTGGGAGAAAAGGTACTGAAAGTTTCGCTTTCCTATCCCTAAGCGTTCGGGAGCTATCGCAAATATTCGCCAGGGGGGGGCGAAAAACGCCCCCCCCGGGCCCGCGAGGGTTAACACAACATGCTTTGATCATCACCGACATCGTTCCACAAATACTTTTATCTATCCATTGCCAGAAACGTCAAACAATGACAAACCTTGCAAACATGCAATAGCTGCATGCAGCCGGCAGGCGGTAAGCATCATCTTCAGCACAGACTGCAGCGTCGTCACCGCGTCCTGTCCGGCGCGCTGCACGTCCCGCACCTTGTCGATGAGCTGTCGGACGATGCCGTTCCACTCGCCCGTCTCGAGGTCCACCACGCCGTACAGGCCGTCCGGGTTCAGCGTGATCGTGTAGTTGAAGCCCACAAAGTTGGCGATGGCGCGCAGAAGGTCGATGCAGAACCCCTCGAACCGGTCGTTGCCGGTGAGGTTGGCCCCCTGGCGCAACATCACGTACGGCGTGTCCTGTGCGGTGGTGGTGTTGGGAGTGGTGACAGTCTTTTATGGCAGCGAGCCGAGAGTAAAGCGCAACATCTCCTACATCAAAACCGAAATGGCAGATAGGAGTGAAAGCGTGTCTTGAATGCAATGAGCATTTACTGGCTTGTTTCTTTTTAACCCAGGCTGGGTAAGTAGTCATAGGGGAGTCGTGGGATTTTGGAAAACAGCAAGCACATTAAAACAGCAAGCACATTAGTTAAATAAAAAAGTGCGTATTTCGCGCAAATCACGTCTATATGGATACATGCCGTTGAGGCTTGAGCTCTCTCCATAAAGCGCTTCTCGCCATGCGTTGTTCAAAATTCCTGCCACAAATTTATGATTGGCTCACTGATTAGCAAATCACTCTGCGATTCTGTTTTGCATGCAAATTATTAATTGGACTCGGGGTGACGACCATTTAATGACATTTCAATCGAACCAGGAACCAAGCGGCGTTCATTGAGGATGCTGCACCAAACAGCCGTTTAGAGTGCCAATCTCAGCCGCGGAGTTTCGGGGAAGGCCGGCCCATCTCGGCGGCGGGGCCTGCCGGGAACTCGACACACGAGTCACGCGCCTTCCCTCAGCGGTCCGCGTCAGAAAGCCTCGCGCCGCGACAGGACCGCGGTGGGCTGTCTCCAATAAATACCGCCCCCTCCACCAGCCTGCCTACCGCGGCCAGCGCTAGCCATATAGTCAGACGGAACAGCGCGGGTTCATCGGTAGAGCCACGCATAAAGATGAGACGATTCTCGAGGAGTCGAACTGTAAGAGTTGATGTGAGACGAATTCCATTTCGATTCAAGGAGAGTCGATGCCCTGCCGAGTTATGTCGAGACGTGTCGATCCATGTCGATCTATGTCGAGCTATGTCCAGCCATGTCGATCTATGTCGAGCCAGCTCGCTGTCGGGCTGTGCCGCCCTGATCTCCTGCGGTCCGCTTATCGCACAGCGCTGCTCGACAGGAGTTGAATGCAAAATCAGCCGAGAGGTACCGCCCAATTGGGTTCCAGCGGACGAACATGCGGCAAAAGCTGAAATGGGATATCTGGAAGAGAAGTGGTATTTTGATAGGAACAGTGTCGTAATTCTTTCAGATTGGAATACTTACGCATCATTGAAAAGTTAGGAGCATTTTACTAGCCTCATAAAATAATGCGGGTTCGTTTGGTACACGCAAAATGATCGAAGGCTCCGAGTTCAGTTTATTTTCTGGTGGAGCGTTTTCATACCATATGACGCACTCATGGGATATGAGATTATCGATCATCGATAGCACGTGTTCACCAGGCTAACAGGTTTTATTGAATAAATGTCTGGGAAATTTGTGCAATTTAGCGTATCACGGGGAATAGGGACGTTAAAAATAGGCACCATGATATTGATGAAAGTCGTTGCCTCGCTAGACGTCCATGTGAGCTCAGTAACACACTTGAGATAACCCACTTTATTTTACCGTGATACCGAGCTTACTGGTGAAACTGGAACGGAGCCGGTGACCAGGTGAGTTTTACGGGTGGGTGACTACTGTTTAGGGTAAGACAAGTTACAGAAGACGACGACTGTCCTACACCGTGGAAGGATGCTCAAAACGGAACTAAAAGTGCGTAAGTGTCTAATGGATCACCTGCTCTCACCAGATACACGTATCAACTAAATCAGTGTTCTACGGCCCCCCACTGCGGTGAAATCTCTCTGCGGTGTCCAACGCTAGCCGAAGTGCCGGCGCTGTGCCTCCCCGGGGGAGTCCCAGGTGCGCGGCCGGCGACACGTACGCCCTTGATGATCTCGTTGACCATGCCGTCCCACTCTCCGGTCTCGGGGTCCTGGGCGCCGTACCGCCGGTCGGGCACCACCTCCATGATGTAGGAGAAGCCGGCCATGTCGGCGATCAGCTCCAACAAGTCGATGCAGAAGCCGTAGAAACGAGCGTTGCCCGTGTAGTTTTTGCCAGCGCGCATCATGACGTAGGGCGTTTCCTGGCTCGGGCAGAGAATGTGCGATTGAGTGCTGACATTGTGAGTGCTGTGTCCCCTTGTGTTTAGAAAAAAGTAAATTAATATATGATATAATAATAAACACCAAGCACAAGTTGTTTCATACGCATGAAACTACCGTCTACAGGACAGCGTGGTGTTGAGGGTCATGATCAAATAAACTTTGGCATTAAAAAATCTAGCATGGCGCTCGGAAATGCATTTTAAAAGAATGATAAAATCGTTTCAAATAAATGAAATGTAAAAAACACCGAATTTGAATGGCTTTGAAGGTAATGTCCCTATGAGATATCCGAGCCGTGGCAACAAAAAGAACGGTACATACTGACAAGTAAACTAGGGGAAGTTGGGGGAACGCCGAATACTTTTTTTCTGACGCCCGTAGCACGCAAGGTAGACAACATAAGCTATTCTTGTTGGCGTCATTCGAGAGGCCAGTCTTTTGTCTTTCAAACATACCAGGCGCATTTGATGAATTCGCATACCGTTAAACGCAAAAACTAAAAATATCAAAGAAGTGACTTTTTCGGCGTTGCCCCGGACTGCGGGGAAAGCCGAAAATGGGAGAAATGATCTACGGGAATGCCGAAATTGATGTTTTGCTATTTTATCTCAAATTTTATCCAGAATTCGTCAAAGCTGACACGCGTTTTAAGAGCTTGAGGACGCTTGGTGCACACTGGAAGTTATAATTGTGTGATATAATAAGAAAAGGCCAGGTAAATCATTCCTTATGGTAACAGGCCGTTGTGTCGGTTAAAAGTGTAATTTGTGTGACTAAAAATACGCGTTGCTATTCTACAGCGGTAAAGTTCACGTAGCGTGCTTTAACGCGCGTAATTGCACGTTTTCGGCATTACCCCAGCCAGCCATACTTTAATTTGCAGGCCCATAACTTTTCAACGTGCTGTATAAATTTCAAATAGGCAGCACACTTATGCAAAGACATGCTGAAGATTACTTGACCGAATTGGCCAGACAAACGGTAGCATAATGAGTAAGAAATGCAGCTTCAAAGGCGCATGTAGTACAAGGGAAACGTACCTTGAAAACGCTTTTGGCGCCCTCACAGCCGAAGTATTCCAAATGACGACTCGTAACAAACATGCGATAATTGTAGTCACTTAAGCTTCAGAGCATCACTGAGACGTGGCATCCATGTCGTATGGTTTTAGAAATATCTCGAATTTCGGCATTGCCCCAACTCCGGCATTGCCCCAACTTCCCCTATTATCAGGTGAGAACGACATTTGAATGAGCTTAGAAACATGATGTACGAGAAAGAACACCGAAGCGTCTTCGTTCGGCCCCGTGGCTTCATCTTTTCAGTGTTGCGCATCCTGCAGTCGCAGCTACCTCAGTGAGTGGCGAGGCCGGCAGTCAGGGCAGCTATCCGCTGCCGTCTCACGGGCTAATGCACGTGCCAACTGGGGCGTAAATACGATTAGCACGTTCTCACAGGGGCAGCAGAGAAAGAGATGCGGACCAAGCCGGCAATTGCTTGTTGAAAATCATAGTATTCTGAATACGTCATGTATGTACGAACAGACTTTTCGAACATATGTGAACTACAAATACAAATCCTAAAATAGACCGGGAGGCAATTCTGGTGCATCTCAATGGTCATGTTATCAGAGACTTTTGTCGTCCACAACTGTCATAAACCACTGTTACCAGCAGACATGACCCATGATCCAATTGTCTGCGGCATCCACGGTCCCCTTAACCGAGAGCCACGACAATGTTGGGTGATAAATACAAATGCTCATTAGGATGATGATGAATTTCCATGATTCTAGATTTAGACGTTTTCTGGTGATGGAACTGGGATCTCTCCAGTGGTATTGCCGTTTGAGTATGAAATCGTCTACCCGCTCTGGTCCATGAGTACCCTAGAAGCTGATTATTTTGTTTAGCTACCCCGAACCGTTCGTACTAAAAATGGTCTTACAGTAATCAAAGCTGTTTCAGAGTGTCAGGCTATGTTATATTGCAGCTCGTAAGAGATAAGCTAGCTAGCAATTCTTAGTTCGTTGTTTATTAGCCAGTACAACGACTCACCAGGTTAGTTGTAACCACCAGTGTGACGTTCAGCGATCCGGGGTCGTAGAACGCCTCGTAGTCCGTGATGTTCACCTGTCCAGCCGGGGTCCACTCCCCCACCTGCGGGAGGGGCGAACAAGAGTCACACTACCAGCCTGCAAGGCTGGTGTGGAGTAGGGCATGTAGTTCACTCCCAAATCGATGCAGTGTGGACACACGTTAGTAAGAGATGCACCGGAGGTATCAATTGACACACTTTAGTGGATAGAGGTTACTATAACAGTAGCCAAATAAAAGTGATTTGAAGTTTAAACGGTCTGTAGCATTTTTTTACTTACAGGCTTTACTTACGCCATCCCTCGGAAAAGATAAACAGAAGTTGAACCGTGCACTGACGAGCCTCCCAGCTGACCAGCGGCCGCTACCAGGCAGCTCTGCGCGTCCGGCGACAGTGGTCTCTCTCGTATACAAACTGGCGGACGCCTCTCCGCACCGTCAGTGCATCTCGGTGGGTCGCGCGCCGCTGATCGTGTGCCGCCTCCCGCGCGCCCCTCCGCCGTGCCCCAGCCTCTCGACACGGAGCGATCGGACGGTTATCTGCCGCGCCCGCGCCGCCGTGGCCTCCCGCCATAGGCCGCAGTCGGCCACTGGTGGAGATCCCGTGCCGACCAAACCCGCTCCGCGCCCGCCGCCCTCGACATGGAGGTCTACGTGGCACAGATTCTCGGCATCACCGCCATCTTCTTCATGACGACGACGATCGGCGTGACGCCCGGCATTCTGCTCAGGAGGAACTCCAAGTCTCTGGACACGAACTCGCCCGGGTTCCGGCTGATGGTGAGCGTCGCCAACTCGCTGGCGTCTGGAGTATTTCTCGACCTGTGTTTTCTCGGTTTGATTCCGATGGTGCAAGATCTGTTCAATAAGGTATGGCAGGAACTGGAAACTGAAGTACACTACCCCGTCGGTGAGGCCATTGTGCTGTGTGGATTCTTTATGATCCTCACTGCGGAGAACTTTGCGATCTGGCTGCAGAGTCGGCAGCCGAAGGGCAAGAGCTCCGGTCTGCGGGCTCTGAGTATGGACGACATTGCCGAGGTGGCGTCGCAGGTGCCCAGTCGGAGGGACTCCTTGCAGGAGAGTTCTGAGGCGCGGCCCGAGAAGCAGGCGCTGAACGGCGTGGAGCTGCAGCAGGTGGCCGTGGCCGCGGCGCCAGAGGACGACGGCGCCGCGCACGGACACAGCCACGGCGCCATGTTCGAGGCCGAACACTCGGGACTGCGCTTCCTGATGCTGCTGGCCGCCATCAGCCTGCACTCGCTGTTCGAGGGCATGGCGATCGGCCTCCAGGTCTCACTCTCCACCCTGCTGAACCTGCTGTTGGCGATTCTCATCCATGAGTCTCTGGTAGCGCTGGCCATCGGTGTCAAGATCGCGCAGCAGGGCGCCTCGTTCTGGCGCAGTCTGAAGCTCATCTGCACGTTTACACTGATGATCCCCGTTGGAATTGGGTTGGGTATTGCGGTGGGGACAGCCACCGGTCTGATTGGCAACGCTATCTCTGGGACGTTCCAGGCGCTGGCCGCCGGAGTGTTTCTGCACGTGACTTTCATGGAGCTGGTGCCCGACGAGCTCGAACACTCTCGTAACGCCTTCGTCAGCATCGCCTGCATGTTCCTCGGCTTCGCGGGAATGTCACTGATCGTTTACCTCACAGAGGGGTAATATCTCGCCAAAAGGTGGATCGAGATGTCAAGTTCCTGGCTTCAGGGAAGCAGCATTGTTTTACGGTGACCAGAGATGTCCACCGAAATGTCAATGCGACTTCAGAAAGGCACAGATTAATGATAACCTTAACCCATTAGGCACATCGCTTCATGATCAAACATCGATAGACAAGTGCTTCAGTCGATAAACTGCATGCTCGTCGAGCACGTGATCTCCGAGATATATGCCATGTCGCGATTGCACGTGACAAGTGACGGGTTACGTAGCGCTAAATGGGGGCCGCTGTGGAAGACCTGCAGGGAACCATGCGACCTGCACGAGTATGTGTGGTTCGTCCATGAACCGTCCATCGCAAATGATGCACATAAAGTGATGCTTATTATAGCAAGACTTTGGGCTTGCATTGACGATGACGAACTGAATGCATCGATGTAGGTATGTCTCGGACGACGGGGACCTGGGCAAATGCGTCAGCGCCTGCTTCTATCGAGTCCTGGTTAACCCGCGCGGGGCTGGGGGGTAAATTTTACCCCCCCCTCGCGAATTTTTGCGATATCTCAAAAACGGCGGCGCGCAGCGCCGCCAAACTTTCAGTACCTTTTTTTACATCAATTTGACACGTTCCCTGAAAATTTGAGCGATATCCGTCGGAAAATTGTTGAGAAATTGACGTTTTAGTGACGTCATGTTCGCCATTTTCGCCTCAAAAACGGCAAAAGTTCAAACGCCGCTAACATCTTCATTTTTAAAGGAATCAAGACGTAACAAAAAAGTTTATACGTAATTTTACTTTGTCTATCAAATGGCTATCTCGGTTTTTTGAAAAGTTTGGATTTTGGCCTAAATTTTTTTCAAAAAACTGACTTTTTTGGGAAAATCATTATAAAATCCAAAATTTTGAGTCTATCGAAAAAACCGGAATATATGTCAGAGAAGTGGTCTATGTGCACCTACATACCAAATTTTAGAAGAATCGGTTTAAAAATGTGGGAGTTATTTAAAATTTTATGACGTCACGACACACAATTTTTTTGAAAAAATGACTTTTTTTGGAAGTTCTAGACCTCGTACGGAAACAAAAATAGCACCATTCGATTCGCCGTGAAAAACTGCATCAGATAGACACCTTTTTAGGCCTTAACAACCAACTTCAAAATTTGACCTCACTTGACCTGACCTTGACCTGACCTCGACCTGAAATTCATCCAGAGGTGGTCCATATCACTTATTGAGTGTGCCTATTGAATTCTATGAGTAAAATGACCCATAAAACATGTGTCGCACATGCCCTTTTCTATATTTTGTTTTTTGGTGACCTGACCTGACCTGACCTGACCTTGACCTTGACCTCTGAATGATATTGTATGCAACGAATATTGTCTTGGTAGCCTAAGAACACGTTTTGGGCGATCAGTCTCAGTCCATGACTCCATTCTTCGGCAACTACGGTGCAAGGCCGATACTGTAGAAACTTGCAATTTGTACCCTTGACCTGACCTTGACCTTGACCTCAAACTTTAAATTAAGTACATGTTTTTAGTAGTTCGTGATGAGAGCTTTCGATTGGCGTTTGAATTTTCCAAATCGGACCATTAGTTCGGGAGATAACAGGGGGGGGTAAAATTTACCCCCCCCCAGCCCCGCGCGTTCGGCTGGAGACCCCAGCCCCGCGCGGGTTAAGTCACAGGGGTTGCTGAAAATGTACGGAAGAGTGACTCCATTGAGATGGCGTCTTTATCATGTGGAATGAGGTTGTGGCTACACTGTGGCATTACCTCCGAATCGATGTCTTTTACGAAATCCGATCTACTGTTTGCTATATGAAAGTCGCTGTCGCTCGACGTTTGGGCCTCGCGGCTTCGCGTCATGAACCGACAACGCTACTTGAGGATCGATTCGCACTGAATTACTAACTATGTTACTATGTAACTATGTAACTATGTTATATGAAATACCTAGTTGTGGCCTGTGTATTTGTAGATCATAGCTCCTCGTTTGCAGAAAAAGCGTCTAGCCACATTTTCAATTCAGTAAAATCGCCTGCTGCAGCCTTCTTCGCCGAGTTCGCTGTTGACTTTACGTTGTGCGTATGTTGATGACTAAGATGTGTGCAATGTTGAATTTATTACATATCATGTACTGTTGCATGATCTGTGCCAATACACTTGTTCATACGCTAAGTTTTTCTTTTGTTTGCCTTCCCACCCACAGTGAGCATTCATAGCCTTAACCCTATTAGTGGCAGGCTCCTGGCTACCCCTATTAGTGGCAGGGGGGGCTGTTTACGACCCCCCCTTGATATCTCGAGATCTAACGGGCCGATTTTCAAAATTCAAACGGCATTCGATTTCGCTCAACGTGATCTACATTTCTAAAAAATAAAAATTAAAAAATGTCAATTGGGGGGTAGAGGGGGGTAAAAACGGGCAAATTGCAGATACATTTTAGACTGTTTATCACGGCCAGGTTTCTGAACCAATCTTAACGCAACTTTTGCCGATCGATAGAGAATGAACCAGGAATTCACATGGATCCTAAAAATATGCATTTTCAAAAATCATAGGCGGATACAGATCATTGAGATTTGGGGTACACAAAAAGTATAGTAAATAAGGTTTTTGTTGGTACTGTTTCTAAAAAGGGTGGTAATGGTCTTGTTATGTTACAATTTTCTTATGAGAGAGCGACTACAATTGTATTGGTCATGCATAGGCGGTGTCAGGGCACCTATGTTGGGAGGTAAAGCATAACCCCCCTTTTTGGACGCCTGGATCCGCCTATTATAGCAAAAACGTGTCAAAAGAGGATGCACAATAACTGTATATGTTATCACATGATGCCTTTCATTCACTGTTCGTAAAACTGGTGCAGCATCGTGATCTTCGCCCAAATGACTCGCTTCACGAATAGGACCCCCCAATTCCCAGTGCTCTGGAGCCGCCCCTGGTAAAGTTATGAACTTGAAATTTTCAGGGAATGTGCCCAATTTAGTTTTAGGAAAAGTCAGAAAGTTTCAGCATCGTAGCTTCAGCGGTTTCGGAGATATTCCCGAAAAACCTGAGGGGTGGATGAAAACAACCCCCCCTGCCACTAATAGGGTTAAAAGTTGAAGTGGGCAAATACGATTAGACAGCTGATACGGCTGCCGCCGTTTTATTTACCTGGCCTTGGCTTCAGAGAGATCAGCATAGTCAGAACATTCCTACATGCTCCGAGGTTCTGTGTCCCGGGATGATAGACCGCACGCCAGCGATCACCATTCGGAGCGAAGTCACGTCATGTCCTATAGCTGGGGTTCTACCAATATACCTACCACAGGTACGTCACGCCATACTCTGTTGCAGTGACAACATGCCAACACTACAAACGTTTTATTTACAAAATGGGATGCCGCTGTATTTCTGAACTCTTAATTTTTAGTGAGACCCTATTATATGACCAACTATGTATTTGCAAAAAAAAAAAAAAAAATAAGCATTAGAAAAAGGCTCTTTCCGGAGCTCTTTTCTACCATCCAATTATGAGTATTGCTATGTTCCTGCAGCGGCAGATTTTATGCAGCATACCCAGTACCCACGCAAATCACGAGCATCAGGGAGACCGTCCGGCACTATGGAATTGAGTGCTTCCTGATTTACCGCACGTCCGCTCGCTGAGCTGTGTACTGCCGGCCTGCCTGTCCGTCAGTAGACCTGCCCGAATATCAGTCCGTCAGTAGACCTCAGCCCGACCGAATGTCAGTCCGTCAGTAGACCTGTCAAAATGTCAGTCCGTCAGTAGACCTGTCAAAGTGTCAGCCCGTCTGATGCTTGTCCAAATGTTTATACATTTGATGGCTGTTCGGATGTCATGAGTTTGTTTATATGCCTGTCTGAATGTTACTTTGTCTGTGGGCCAGTCTAAATGTCAGTTTGTATGTAGGCCTGTGTGTGGATGTCTGATGCCGTTTTGTCTGTAGGCCTTTCCGAATATCATTTTGTTGCATTTTACGGACAACAAACAGTTGCATTAATTTTACATTAAACAAACACTTAACCCTATTAGTGGCAGGGGGTTGTTTTTATCCACCCCTCAGGTTTTTCGGGAATATCTCCGAAACCGCTGAAGCTACGATGCTGAAATTTTCTGACTTTTCCTAAAACTAAATTGGGCACATTCCCTGAAAATTTCAAGTTCATAACTTTACCAGGGGCGGCTCCAGAGCACTGGGAATTGGGGGTCCTATTCGTGAAGCGAGTCATTTGGGCGAAGATCACGATGCTGCACCAGTTTTACGAACAGTGAATGAAAGGTATCATGTGATAACATATACAAAGTTATTGTGCATCCTCTTTTGACACGTTTTTGCTATAATAGGCGGATCCAGGCGTCCAAAAAGGGGGGTTATTTTTTACCTCCCAACATAGGTGCCCTGACACCGCCTATGCATGACCAATACAATTTTAGTCGTTCTCTCATAAGAAAATTGTAACATAACAAGACCATTGCCACCCTTTTTAGAAACAGTACCAACAAAAACCTTATTTACTATGCTTTTTGTGTACCCCCAATCTCAATGATCTGTATCCGCCTATGATTTTTGAAAATGCATATTTTTAGGATCCATGTGAATTCCTGGTTCATTCTCTATCGATCGGCAAAAGTTGCGTTAAGATTGGTTCAGAAACCTGGCCGTGATAAACAGTCTAAAATGTATCTGCAATTTGCCCGTTTTTACCCCCCTCTACCCCCTATTGATATTTTTTAATTTTATTTTTTAGAAATGTAGATCTCGTTGAGCCAAATCGAATGCCGTTTGAATTTTGAAAATCGGCCGGTTAGATCTCGAGATATCAAGGGGGGTCGTAAACAGCCCCCCCCCCCCCTGCCACTAATATGGGGTAGCCAGGAGCCTGCCACTAATAGGGTTAACTTTCTCGGCGTCAATGCGTCCAGCGACTCCAGTCCGCGGCAGTCAGCCAGGAATGCAACGGACCGTGCGCACATGCACACCTGTGCTGTAAAAGATGTCGCCAGGACCCATTCATACCTTGACGAGGTCGTGCTGTTTGAGTTTGAGCAGGTCCAGTTTGAAGGTGGTCCTCTTGCCCTCGCTGAACTGGATAGGCCCGGTCAGACCGCGCAGCTCCCGCACCTGGCCAACAGAGGGGCGTCAGTGAAACAATTCGAGAACGGTCAGACTCCGTAAAACTGGAATGTCGGAAGTTTGAAGTACACACCCGAGATGGCTAAATTCAACAAAACGTTGCCTGGCGTCACAAGAATATGAGCAAAGCTTGCAACCCTCAGCCCGCCGCCCGTTCTGGAGTCCGTCCCGGCTGATATCGACAAATACAAACTGACTAACTCACTCGCCTTTGTCTAAATGGAATAGTCTGTTTTATTCCAGGGCAGCACATTTCGGCTGTCTCACCTAATATAACATTAATTACGCTTTCATATTTCATCGATGCTTCTGAGAGCAAATAGTGACAAAAAATATAAGTCAAGCAAGAGCAGAGCACGAGCAAGCTCCGCAACGCACATTTACTGCGCGTCAATGGCCCCCTCTTCAGCCGATGTGAGACCTCGTGTCGATGGCCAATCAGACGTAAGAGACAGATTACATTTGTCGAGTGACTGGCACTATTTGAACACGATTCTGCCCCATACTGAATACCGCTCAAGAGGTCTTCGTTCGGCGGATTTCGTGTGCTCCCTTGGACTGTCACAGATAGGTTTCTTGGAAGTGGAAAGAAAATAGGCTGAAGAGACCATCCGATGTGATACAAGTTTTACGCAGCAGAAAGCAGCGTCATATGCAACGGGTGAGGACAATGTGCAACGTAGGGAGCCCAACAGCTGTGTGCACTGTGCAGCTGTATTCTTATTTTGGTTAGCGGTGATCACCCGATCGATCATATGTCATCGATGTCATCGAAATTATCGGGTGCAGCAAATATATGCCAAACTGAAAATGTGTGCAATAAATGAGGTTAACCCGCGCACCGACGGGGTCTGCGCCAGCTTACAACCGACGGGGGGGGGGGGGGGGGGCGGATGACCGCACCCCCCACTTAGATCTCGAGAACGAAGCAAGATAGCGACAAGCGGTAAACGGCATGGGGTACGCACGGACAAGGTCTACAATTTTTACATAGGACACATTCAGGTCAGGTCAAAGATGACGTTACAGGGGTCAAAAAAGTCAAAATGGCGGCGCTAGATATTGAGAGTTTTTATCAAATAACGTTCGAATTAGTCAAGCTAGGAACAAACTAAGAGCATCATCGTGATCCTCTCGTCAATCCGCATCATATATATGTTGACCTCGAAAGGTCAAGGTCAATGGTTGACCTCAGGTCACATGACCTCGAGGTCATCATGTATATCATTCGATGCGCCTTGACGAGCTGAACACAATGAGACCATCCGCGCGGCTGCATCTCGTTCCTGTAAGGAGTTGTTGGCAAAACACCGTTGGTGACCTTTGATGACGTCACATGACCTTACAACTGTCCAACAGCAAAACAGGCCTCAAAGTAGGAAGGTTGATGGTATATGAAGTCAGGTATGGTATATGGGGCCATTCCGACGCGTTTTGGTGGAAAAACAGGGAGTTGATTCCCCCCCCCATTGACTAATGATCACATTGCTCCAACAGACGGTAAATAACTTTTGAAAATACCCAACTCCAATTTTAGTGTTTTCTGAACCAAAATTTTGCGGGGAATCCGATGGTGTGGTCCCCGAAATCTGAAAAATTTCCATTTTGGAGATAGCAACTATTTTTTTAAAGTAAATATTCGTCATGCACAAAAGTCAAATAAATTGAAAATATAATGAGTGAATATTTATAACAACACTAGAATGTATCGAACATGAATAAGTGATATATTTTAGCTGAGATGATACTATATCTGCGCATACATGTACAGAAACTAGTACATTAACCCTCTCCGGCCGAGAAGGGGTGGGGCGGATGCCGCCTCATAGGGTTTTTCGCGATAGCTCAAAACACGCTGAGGGTAGACAGCTGAAACTTGGCATACCTAATATTTTATTCAAGCTGGATCTTTTGAAACCAACTGCGTTTTCAGGTCAGGTCAGGTCACTGACCTATGGCGTCATAAATAACATCTGCACGGTTCTCAGAAGTTGCAACTTTGCAACGCCCTCAGTACCAGAGGAACTTTCACAGGAAGATGAAACTTACAGGACGTAGTATCCTCTACAGGTCTCACAAATTGTATATCTCGGATTTTTCCAAAATGTCACATGAGGCCAGTTCGGTCACGTGACCTCACCATAATAAGTCAATGGGGGAAATATGAAAACTGTTATTTTGGCGCCGGAAATTGTCTAAAACTTTTCCAAGCACATCAAATCGTGGTTTCATGCACTCTTTGTAAGGTCCGATCATGAAACCACGATTTCATGTGCTTGGGATAGTTTTAGATCAATTCCAGCGCCAAAATAACAGTTTCAATATTTCCCCCATTGACTTATAATGGTAATGTCACGTGACCGACCTGACCTCATGTGACATTTAGCTTAAATCCGAGATATACAAGTTGTGAGACCTCAGAAGGATACTACGTCCTGTAACTTTCATCTTCCTGTGAAATTTCCTCTGGCACTGAGGGCGTTGCAAAGTTGCAACATCTGAGGACCTCGCAGAGGTTTATTTATGACGTCATAGGTCAGTGACCTGACCTGACCTGAAAACGCAGTTGAGGTCAAAAGATCTAGTTTGAATAAAAGATTAGGTATGCCAAGTTTCAGCTGTTTACCCTAGGCGAGTTTTAAGCTATCGCGAAAAGCCCTATGAGGCGGCACCCGCCCCACCCCTTCTCGGCCGACGAGGGTTAATGTACTAGTTCATGTACATGTATGCGCAGATATAGTATCATCTCAGCTAAAATATTTCTCTATTTCATGTTCGACACATTCTAGTGTTGTTACAAAAATTAACTCATTATATTTTCAATTTATTTGACTATTATGCCTGACAAATATTTATTTTTCAAAAAATAGGTGCTATCTCCAAAATGGAAATTTTCAGATCTCCGGGACCACACCATCGGATTGCTCGCAAAATTTTGGTCCAGAAAACACTAAAATTGGAGATGGGTATTTTCAAAAGTTATTTACCGTCTTTTGGGGCAATGTGTGATGGGGAGGTCGAGAAATTGACCTGACTTTAGGTCATCGACATCGAAATTCGGAGACATGCAAATTTTAGCTATTAATGACCTAATAACGTCCTGCGACTTTCAAAGACCTCCGTCATCTACTGTAGCTCTGACACTGTGGCAAAGTTGCAAAAAAGTGACTTGAGGTTGGGTCATTCGACGTGACCTGGTGACCTGACCTTAAAAGTTAGGACTTAGGGGGTTCAAACTTGCACACCATGTGCAAAATTGATGAGAGAATAGTCATGCCAAATTTGCAGTTTTCCCGCTATTCACGAAAAACCTTAGGGGGGAGGCCGATAACCCCGCCCCCCCCCCCCCGTCGCGTCGGTGCGCGGGTTAAATTCACCGACAGTCATATTAAAAAAAAAAACATTGCTCAATTTCCTCTAGGGTAAACACTAAACATTCCTGAAAATGACAAGAGCTGTTTATTGTCATATTTTTGGGGAGTCGCTTGGAACAACAAACTTACATTTTTTGTTTTTGTTGAGTCATCAATTGGAAAACATACTCCTTTTTCATATTGAGGAGTGGCAGCCACTTGCAATTTGCATGCAAGCATACACGAAGTGAAGCGGACCGCTGTGTAAAGTCGATTGCAAGAAGCGTTTGAATGAACTGTTCGATCTTGTATCATGTCTCGTTACGTGGATACTAACAGAGATGTCGGGTGGTGAACAGCTCTCGGGAGGTCAGCAATAAACAGACGGCCACTTTGCGACGTCTCGCGGCCCCTGTCACCATGTGAACGGGATATCAAGGCCGGCAGACACACACACAGAGACGGGACTGGGTTGTATAGAGCAGCAAACGGTCACTGGTGGTGAACTAGGGTCGACTGGGGTCACGGCACACAACGGCTCGGAGAGGAGCGAGGCCCGGCTGGTAGCTCCTTCCCAGTTGTGAAAAGTGGAAGACAAAGATCGGAAACAGGCGCCAGGTGGCTCACAAACTTATAATAAAATAGCAGAAATGGAGGTGCGGGCTGCTGCTGATCAAATGAAGCAGAAGAAAATAAAATAAATAAAACTAGCTGGTCTTACTGTTGACTCAGTTAACGGTTAGCCTCACCCGTGGCAAGCGACAACACTAACTTCGTTACACCTAGCACTAGCAGGCCTGGTTGTTAACGTAACTGATTGACTGATTTGCTGCACTCTAAAGCGAATTTCACAATTAAATGAATGAACAGATGGAAAATCCGCCACCAACAAACGATCGTAGGATAATTAAACACACAAGACTACCCAGAAATGTCCACGTGTGTTGACTTTGAGTCATTGTCCGGCAGAGCAGCTGCTGCGTATCTGAGATGCTTATTTGACCGAGGTGACTGGGCCACTCCAGCAACGTTAGTCATTTGCCGAGGCACTGACACGCCGCCCGCTCCCGAGAACCGCGCTCCTGTCTTGTTGCCCTTTGTCCTCCGGTCACCGATAAGTTTATCTGGTAAAGTACTACGTCGTGAACGATCACACATCGAACACTGCTCGGCTAGACTGACGATACGGCCCCGGACAGAGGACACCTTCCCAGAATGCCTAGTCAAAGATTGCATCCACGCCCACTTTTTACCGACTATTTTTCCGAGGGGTGGGTTTTTGCACTCGAGTGTTCCGCTCATTCACAACAGGAAGGAGATATGTATCTCAACACCGATAGCTGACCTTGGTGAACACAGACCAAAGATCAGTGGACACATGCGACGCTTACGTTCGCACATTCTACGTAGTACGCATGCCCACATCTGCGCATCGCTCCGTGCCCCTCGCGACTAAACATCAACAGACTCACCGCGTTGATATAGTTGAAGAGACTGCTGCCGTCCACCCAGGGCTGCTCGCGGCCGCACGAGACCCCGCTGCTGCGAAACTGCACGCCGTCCTGCATGGCGGTCAGCGCGCGGGCGAACACCAGAACAGAGTCATACACCAGCGCCGGCTCCGACTGTAACAGAGGAGTCACAGGTCACAGGTCAGGGGGCCGGCTCAGACTGGAACAGAGGGTCACGACCACGGGTCACAGGGCAGCGCGCGGGCGAACACCAGAACAGAGTCATACACCAGCGCCGGCTCCGACTGTGTCACCGACGAAATGAACTGCCCTGTTGTTCTTCTCTTTCGTTTTACATTTGACAGCCACGCGTGATCTATCGCAGTACTGGTCATGCCCCGTGAGCCTGGACCAGCTCTTGTGTTAGTTTCTCGTCTCAAGTTCTAATTGCCTACAATTTGTCACTCGCGCTATCGCTTCACACTTGACGGCTGTTCGTGCTCGCCGCCGCCGTATCGTATAACCGAACGTGCCGCGCGAGCCTGCTCTGGCTCTTCTCACAGGTTTCTCGTTTCATATTCTAATTGCTTTTAGATGTACGACTGATTGTTCTTTGTGCCCGCGGCGGCTCCTCGAGTCGCTGCGGGCAGTCTCCACTTGAACGCCACCGGGTACAGTCCTCGGTGGCGGTGCGCGGCTCCGCCGGCGCCCCGATGTGCGCCGGTGTAGTGAACCCGTGACGGAATCGTGCGCGATTCCGACGGCACCCCCAGCGGGTTGCCAACGTGAACAGTGACGGAGTCGTGCCACCGAGCACGATTCCGAGGGCACCCCCGTTCGTGTGCCCAGTGAACGCCACTGAGCCCAGCTCAGTGGCAGTGCGCGAATTCGCCGGCGCCCCGACGAGCGCCGGCGTATTGCAGTGCAGTGAACGGCTCTGACGGCGCCCCGTCCGCGGCGGCGCCGATGTGTCATCTGAACTCTGAACAGTGAACTTCATCGACAGTGCTCACTGTGTTTTTCTCTGGTCCACCTGTCTACTCTGCGCTCCTCATTTCACCCTCGTCTACCGTTCGTCATCATCTATCGTCCGGATTTCTTCAATACATTCTTCAAAATTCATCGAAGTTTTTCCTCCGCTACAATAAATGTCCCGGCCCCCATCAGAGGCTCGTCAGGGTCGGCGACATTTAATGGTCCTCCGGGCCGGATCAGGCCAGAAGAAATCAGAAGCGGAGGAAACTTCATCGAAAATGGAAAAACAAGAAGGGAGACCGCAAAGTGAAGGCGCTGTCGGCGGAGTTCCTGTGACGATAGAAACTGAAGAAACCATGGAGGTTTCGACGCTGCAGCAGCCGCGCCCTGAGGTGAGTTCCAGTTCGTCAGCATCCCGCGCATCCGCTGAGGCTCAGCTCACGGCGCGAAAAAGGGCTCTGCATGTGAAACAGTTGGAAAAACGACTGGAGATGGAGCGACAGGAAGCGGAGCGAAAGCAGCAACAAGAAGAGAAGTTGAGGCGGCAGCAAGAGGAGTTGAAGCGTCATGAAGATGAAGTGAGAAGACGACGTGAGCTGCAAATCGCAAAAGATGAAATGGAACAAGCTGCACTAGAGGCACAATGGCGACAGCAGATGAATGATCGACGAAACGCCGGCAGAAGGGACGACTTCACGAAAGCTGAACGGGAAGGACAGCGAACGGTTACTACGAGACTCCCGCAGTCCGAAATATCATTCCACTGTCCTCTCCCTCTCCCTGCTAGCCCCGTCCCAGCTAGCCCTCAGATCAGCAGACCATCGTGGATCGACGAGTTACCCAAAGATAGGATACCGGCGTCAGAAAGTGTCCAGAAGTTGAAAGTTACGGACAGCCAGAAAGTGACAACCAGATGGATCTCCATCGCTACTGCCCAGGTACTTGGCATCTCATTCGACAACCAGCTACCCGCTGGGCCAGACCTGCTGAGCTCGGAAAAAGAACTCGCTAGCAACAAGAACCTGAAAGAGGTGACTCAAGAATCCTGCTCGAAAGAAGGACGCCTCCGAAAAGTGAACCCAGGTGAAACAGCTGAGGCAGCAAAATCCCTGCAGCATCCCTCAGCCAGAAAACCGAGCGAAGACCCGGAAATCCAGGTGATCTCCGACTCCGACGCTGCTGCCCAGGTGCTTGGCGCCTCGTGCAACAATCGACCACTCGCTGAGTCAGACATGCGGAAAAGTCAAACTGACGTCCCGCAACGATTCCAGGAAAGGGCTGTGGCCTGCGTAGCGGATATCCAGGAGACGGCTGATCAGAAACAGTTCATCCGACAAGAAAGAACGGCTCAAAACCGCCTCTCGCCTGACCTGAACGACGGACAAAAATCAGACCAGAACGAGAAGGAAGAAAACGTCTTCAAAACCGAATCGTGGCTGGCGTCCGCTGACCTTGTGCCGCAGAAAACAGTCACCGATCATGATGCAGATGCACAAGTCAAACTGAAGACAGAGACCACGAAAGCGCGACACGGCAGTGTCTGTATGGACGACGCCCAGCAACCAGAACGAACCGTGTCAGAGGCCGCCAGAGCAGTAAGAAGAGATGGTCCCGATCTGCTCACAAAGGAAAACTTACGGCTCGAAAACCATGAACAACACGAGTGAAGTGCAAAGCAGCACACCATATGTGAGACAAGCACACCCCGATGCGGACTACGATGACACCTATCTCCCTGCGGAAGGAGCTCTGGGTGCTGTCTGGGACGAAGAGCGAGACTCGCCGAGTGCCCAGTTCCGAGACAGTAAGAAGCAGACGACCAGACGAGGAGCGCTCAGGAGAACTGCGGTTATCTTCGACCCCGTGAGGATCGCCGCTCCGTATCGGATCACGGTGCAGATCCTCAAGGAGAAACTCTGGATGCTACGACACATCCGGAGCCGATGGAAGAAAGAAAAAAATCCCAAAACCTGGCACATCGAAAGGACTCTGGTCCCTGGTTCGAGAACAGAGCTCCTGCCAGGACCGGACAGACGAGTGCGCGCTGTACGACTCGTCACTGCGAATGGAGCGACCCACACACGGCCGGTCACGTGGTCGCTGTCCTAGAAGAAGCAGCTCAGCTGTAGTGAACGGGTTTGTCGCCACATCATTCCCACATCCTGACAGCTGTACTTCGACCGTACTCCCACTGACCCACTGAGCCTGGCCTATAGACCATTTCTGAAACTTCATCTCGCCCTCCGTCCCGTGGAGCAGACACCAAACTCGCCGAGATTTATGTCTTTTCCCGTGTCCCCCTCTAGCCCGGCTCGCCACATGGACCGCTTTCCCCTCCCCCGTCCGCGCAGCCGGCCATTAGGCACGAGTGACATCTGGAGGTGGGGGAGCTCAGCTGAGTGGCGCGTGCCGCGCTGCCGGTTGACACTGACCTTGAGTACCGAGGGAAACTGAGGCGACGAAGGACCCTGCTGACCTACTGAGAGCAGCGACCGATCAGCTGACTGCTGGAAGGACAGCACATCAGCTATTCTGGAGAACGACAACCGAAACCGGCAACAGCCGTGTGAACACTCGCGTTGCGTTTCTGGTGTAGCCGAACACTGCGCACCGGAGACTGGCGTCAGAAGTGACAAAGTGACGCGACCAGTGGACTAATGTGCAGATGACCAGGGACGAGGTCTAGCGCAATGAACGATTGTGAAGGTGCCGAAAGTGTTTGCATTCGTTATGATTTAGTACTAAGTGATATAGGTAGTGTACCATAAATCTGTATAGGTGCTTGTGTAGTTTAGGAAGAACTCGCGAGAACCTGCGTAGCGAAGTCGTGAATCTCGTGGATGTACAGAATGTTCCGTCGGTGTTCAGTGGTTGTGTGATCTCCCGTCTTAAGTCGATCACAGGGGAGGAGTGTGTCACCGACGAAATGAACTGCCCTGTTGTTCTTCTCTTTCGTTTTACATTTGACAGCCACGCGTGATCTATCGCAGTACTGGTCATGCCCCGTGAGCCTGGACCAGCTCTTGTGTTAGTTTCTCGTCTCAAGTTCTAATTGCCTACAATTTGTCACTCGCGCTATCGCTTCACACTTGACGGCTGTTCGTGCTCGCCGCCGCCGTATCGTATAACCGAACGTGCCGCGCGAGCCTGCTCTGGCTCTTCTCACAGGTTTCTCGTTTCATATTCTAATTGCTTTTAGATGTACGACTGATTGTTCTTTGTGCCCGCGGCGGCTCCTCGAGTCGCTGCGGGCAGTCTCCACTTGAACGCCACCGGGTACAGTCCTCGGTGGCGGTGCGCGGCTCCGCCGGCGCCCCGATGTGCGCCGGTGTAGTGAACCCGTGACGGAATCGTGCGCGATTCCGACGGCACCCCCAGCGGGTTGCCAACGTGAACAGTGACGGAGTCGTGCCACCGAGCACGATTCCGAGGGCACCCCCGTTCGTGTGCCCAGTGAACGCCACTGAGCCCAGCTCAGTGGCAGTGCGCGAATTCGCCGGCGCCCCGACGAGCGCCGGCGTATTGCAGTGCAGTGAACGGCTCTGACGGCGCCCCGTCCGCGGCGGCGCCGATGTGTCATCTGAACTCTGAACAGTGAACTTCATCGACAGTGCTCACTGTGTTTTTCTCTGGTCCACCTGTCTACTCTGCGCTCCTCATTTCACCCTCGTCTACCGTTCGTCATCATCTATCGTCCGGATTTCTTCAATACATTCTTCAAAATTCATCGAAGTTTTTCCTCCGCTACAATAAATGTCCCGGCCCCCATCAGAGGCTCGTCAGGGTCGGCGACAGACTGGAACAGAGGGAGGTCACAGGTCACAGGTCAGCAGGCCGGCTCAGACTGGAACAGAGGGTCACGACCACGGGTCACAGGGCAGCGCGCGGGCGAACACCAGAACAGAGTCATACACCAGCGCCGGCTCCGACTGGAACAGAGGGGTTAATTAAGGTCAGCGCCAGTACGAATGGAACAGGGGGTCACAGGTCAGGGCTAGTTCTTATTGAAACAGGTGGGTCGCAGGTCAGCGCCAGTATGACTAGAACAGGTGGGTTGATGTGTCTCAGCATCAGGGTCAACGGTCACAGGCTAAGGGTGAGAGGTCACAGGCTCAGGGCAGGGTCAGAGGCCACAGGTCAGCGCCAACCTTGACTATCATCTGTCCTTTTGTGGACCAAAACACCAGGACCCAGGACCGGACCCAGGGGACCAGGGATGTCATGAGTTGAGGCTTGAGCCTTTCATAAACTACTGCATCAGCAATCAGCAGTTTTCGGCAGTCCGGTGTTGACCTCGATCAACAAATGTCAGCACGTTTGACAGCCCGGTCTGCACTGTGCTAAGCCTCTCTCTCTCTCTCTCTCTCTCTCTCTCTCTCTCTCTCTCTCTCTCTCTCTCTCTCTCTCTCTCTCTCTCTCTCTCTCTCTCTCTCTCTCTCTCTCTCTCTCTCTCTCTCTCTCTCTCTCTCTCTCTCTTTCTCTCTCCGTACCACCTCCCCATCATCCCGTTGCTTGGGCTCCTGTTATACGATCCCCGATCGACGCCACAGACAAGCCGGAATCAATGGGCCAGCGCCGCCGCGGGCCTCTGTCAACACGATCTGTGTGATTTGACCGGAGCCGCAGCCCCTGTGCGACAGGATCCACCGAGCTCAGACAGCCGACACCGCGTCAGTATGTGTGTGTGCACGGCGCGTACCAGGGAGGCACCGCCGCGCGCGCACAGACGTGAGGTGCAGGGTAGATTTACTGATCGCTGCATAAGGGGTGAAGAGGCCGGTGCAGTGCAGGCTGGGACGTTTTACTTATCATTGACAATGCGTCATCTATGCTGCATAGCAGCATCACTGCTGCTGCTGCAGCAACTGCTGAAGGCAATGCAAGCTGCATATTTCGGCAATATGTGGTATGCAATCACGTCCTCAGAAGTTTGGACTTTTTTTTTTAATTTTTTTTTTTAATTTTATCGTATATTCGTTCAATCAGACGAGTCCCACAGGGAACACACAGCTGACACATCAGCGAACAGTTCCCTGTCCTCACGACGCACAATGGAGGACAGAGGCGGGTAAAAAAAAACTGTCCCGGTGACACTTGAGCGCTGGAACGCAGTCCCAGTTCTCATGACACGCGGAGTAAACACGAAAAACAAGAACGGTAAAAAGAAAATTGCCCGATACAGCTCAAACCAGCACGGGCGGCGGCGGCGGCAGACGCGCTAGCGGGCGCCCCGCGAAGGGCGGCCAGGGCACACGGACCACCAGGCAGCGGCTGCCACCCAGCGCCAACCACCGGCCCCCCGCCGACGACCCGCAGCGACCGAGACGTCCCGCGAGCGCAGGCCGACCAGAGAGTGCTGGAGAGATTGGCCGGCCAATAAGGATGGGTAAAGAAATCTAGGATGTAGGTTGGTTGTGTGCGGAGGGAAGATTCTGTGACAGAATATTCGAGACGTTGCCCCACTTGGACAAAAACTTGTCAGTAGACTTATGCCTTAAAAAGAATTTACTTTCATTTTCAGCCTCTCTTTTAAGTATGTGATGAAAATGATGTATGCTGGGAATCTGAGTGTTATGTCTTGCCCTAAATATTACTTGTTTTGCTAATGTGAATATTAATATATTTATTTCGCTTTCATCCGCTAGCCTTGGAAATATCCACGACTGCACTGAGATATTTACTATAAAATTGTATTCTTTTCGAAAGTATGCTACTATATCTTTTATAAAGTCTTTTACTATTCTACATTCCCAAAGTATATGACATAACGTTTCATCACGCTCGTTGCAAAAAGTACAAACTGCACTTTCTGCTTTTCCAATACGATACAAAAAAGTGTTTGTAGATATTATTCTATTTATTATACGATAATGGAACGTTTGTAAGTATGTGTTTCTAGTCGCATGGCGAATATCATACATCGTGCCCTCATGCGTACACCCTATATCTCTATTCCATTTACGCTTAATATGATTTTGCGTTGACTGGTTTGTTTCTCGTTTTAACAGGGCAGAAACGAATTCATTATATGCTAAGCGTGAAGTGTTTGTTTTCTGGGAGAGTAGCGCTATTTTATAAGGTATTATTGGGTAAATGATTTTACAGGCAACAACAGTATTATCCACATGATGCGGTATACTTCTGGTTAAAGATTCATAGCATAGAAACGACATTTTGATGTTAAAGGTTTCACTTAGAGTTCGTTGTTCTAAAAATGATCCGCTATCCTTAGAATACAAATCTGCAACAAATCTCAAACCCTTTCTATCCCAATCTTTTACAATGCTCGTTTGGAATTTGCTGTGATCTGAATACCACAGCTTGTCCGTCAGAACGTTTTCTGGTGTTGTTCGGAAGACCGCACAAAAATCCGCCCAGGCGTTCAGCACATCTTTCCAAAATGTATTACGTAATCTATGATTCGAGATGTTTCTCAACTTCTCCGTGCCGTAGCAAACTAGTTCACAAATAGGAGGTAAAGTTTTCTTGATTATGTTAGCCCATACAACATCAGATGTTGACCAATATAGTCTTTTTATCCAGTTAACTTTTAGGCTCTTTATAAACGACCTAATATCGACCATTTTCAAACCCCCGTGATCGTAATCTTGTACCAACTTGTTTCTTTTAACTTTATCAGGACCATCGTTCCAGATATATTTGAACAATATATTATTAATGTAAGAAATGTCCTTTTCGTTTGGGGTTGGCAATGACGATACAATATGTACTAGTTTAGAAATAACCATTGATTTTACAACTGTTATCTTTCCTATCAAGGTGAGATTTCGTCGCCTCCATTGGGCTCAGAAGTTTGGACTTACCTGAAGCGCACCGTTGAGGGCACGTCGAGTGTGGCTGTGAACTGACCTCGATCACGCCGGCCTTGGAGACGATGTTGTTGCCGACCGGCTGGAACTGCTGCATCTGCCGCAGGATCTCCCGCACGTGGAATGAGTCAGAGACCAGCCGGAACGCCGTCATGTTGACAAAGTTGTACTTGAAGTCCTCCAGGTCAAACGTCTCTATGTCCTGCACAGGACGCAGATGAGAAGGCGTCAGTGTTATTGGAACGGTGGAATAATAAGCGCTATCAGCATCAGCAGCTGCATCTTTTGTCGATGTCTGGCTGATGTTCATTTTGTGTGCAACTTATTAGAGTAATTGCGTCAACTATTTTCAAAGATACGTAGACACCAGTACTTACTTCAAGATCATTCACTTTTCGAATTGGTTATGATGAGCATTTTCTGATTTTATGACACATTTATTCCCTTGTCCTCATGGTTTGTTCCACTTCTGTCGTTGTCGGGCAGTGTGCGTGTGTGGGTGTGAGCAGCAGGCTGTGCGTGGGAGGGGGGAGAACGTCGGAGTAGTCTGTTGATGCTGGGCGATATGGGACGACCAATGGATGACCCAGCTGCGCCACATAGATCAGCGGAGCCCCACTGAATATGTATGGCGCGGCAGGGTTATTCGCGTGGCGTCCCCACATAACTGATTGACTGGGAGCGCACCCCGTCATGGGCAATCTACCGACACGCGACATCAAACGGTTATCTACCGCCGCCGTCCAGCGGGTAGTCGGGGACCCCACCCTGAGTGTGGTAAACAACGACCGGTGGGCAGCGATTGGAGTTTTGGGTAACGACAATAACGTATGGCATTTGTCGTTCCTTCAGCTGCAGATCGCTCCATTACTCATGGAAGCCTTATAAAAGTCGACAAACAAAACCAAAACACTTTTACGCCGTAACGGAAAGTTTGTCGTTAGCTTTACAATTTACCTCACTAATCTACTTACCTATTTTTGTACTTACCTATATTATTTGGTATGCAAGGCGTTCCAAGCCTTTTGTTTTGCAACAATAATGCACCATATTTTATTTCCAACTAAATTTACTGCTGGATAATTATTAACAGGCTTCATATCGCTTGGTATTTCATATCATGGCTTTTATAACCCTGGCACTATTATCAAATCATTTGGTGTAATCGTTAACCCGCGAGTTGCTGGGGGGGGGGGCGTTAAACGCCCCCACTTTTTTCGCCGGGCCATAGCATAAAAACGGCGCGCCGCAGGCGCGCCAAATTTTGGGTACCTGTAGGGAATTGATTGAAGTTTATTGTGACAAAGTTTCAAAAAAATCGGTCGGAAATTTTTTTAGATATCGAGGTTTTAGTGACGTCATGATTTCTGAGTTTTCGACCAAAAACGGCATATGTTCAAAAAATCATATAAAATCACAGGATAAACATACAGACATGCCGTAAACGCCATTAGACTGCCAATATCATGATCAATCAAATGGCTATCTTCGATTATTGATTATCGTTCCGCGTTTTCCATAATCTTGAACTGAATCTTGGCAATTTTTCGTGACTACTTCACGACCATGATACATGAATTTATTAAATTGAACTTTTTGAGCCAAACACGTGCACATATGATAAAATGAATGTCACCATCGTGTTCTACGCCCCAAATTACCTATAAAACATGTGTCACAGGCTGCGAATATCAGTTTTGATTTTCGGGGATATGTGCCTACCCGGTTGACCTGACCTTGACCCTGACCTATGCTTGACTGACCCCTACATGGAACTGACACTCTTGTAGGCCTTATAAGATGGATTGTGCACCGTTTTGACAGAGTTTATGGCGAGAGGCGCCCATTGCGAAGTCCTGAAGTCCATGCTACTGAAAGTCCGATTTCAGGTGTTTGACCTGACCTTGACCCGACCTGTGACCTCAAAATTCAACTTTAAAGTACTCATCTGAAGGGGCTCGTCGTGCTCTTTCGTTTGCCGCCTCGTGCGTTTCGCTGCGCCTATTGGTTCTCGAGTTATCGGCTGGGGGCGTTTAACGCCCCCCCCCCCCCCCCAGCAAACGGTGGGTGGCGAAATACCCCAGCAACTGCCGGGTTAAGATCCTTGAAATAATTTATAGGCTTCTTCATTCCAGCACAAATTTTGGCAGTGCCACTTCTCGCATCTCGCTGCCATCTGCACTGTCCCGATCGTTAGCGAAGCCGTCCCTCCCCTGTCTCCCTCGGCCGTCTCCCCTCCCCCCCCCCCCCGGCCCGTGTGCGGTGACCTCCGCGGGGCCTCGGACAGCAGACCGGGCAGACGACCCCCGCTGTCTGTAGTGGCCTGAGGCGGCGGCCGGCCGGGTCAGGGCCGGGGCGGCGGGAGGCCGTCGGGGGGGGGGGGGGAGGGTGATGACGGCCGGCGCCGTGTGCTGCTGACTGGCCGTGATGCAGTGGACGGTGAGCCGAGTGTCTCTGATGGCACGCTGATGCAGTGCCGACCGGCGGCGGCGGCGGCGCTCGACCGGCTTCATATCCGGCGCAGCGCGGCGCGGATCGGCGCGGCGCCGTCCTGCAGCCGGCGGGGATGACCGGAGAGCGCCGCCAGACACCCGGGTGGGATGTGGGGTCACGGTGTGATATGGGATCACCCCGGCAGCTGGTGAGGCGGTCAACCCCGAGATTGGCTCCGAGCTACACATGGGCATTGGATATACGAGCTAGAGCAGCAGCTGACTTGAACAAGAGAAATATGTGGCGCGACATATTTTTTTCATAAGATATCAAGTGCACGAAAGCAAGGTAGCCTGTCCTAAGCCCAGAACGTGTATATGAAACAGGATCATTACCAATAAGATATGAAGCCCTAAAAAAAAAAACTATCTAATACCAACCTCAAACTGCTCCGGTTATTTTTCAATAGAAAAACATAATTCTAACGAATAGTGTTTGTCTCATGTCTGATTTTCAAACAACCTGCGGCTACTTACAAACGTTGTAAAAAGGTAGTGATACTTGTAGTCGTTCATTTGCAGTTGTAATATCTGGGAACGAAACAAAAGGCATGTGAATATCGCATTCACTTTCACGGATACCAGCAAAGTCACAGCCTCACCGCTAAAACATGCGGTGTTCCACTCAAACGAAAATGATCGATCGATACCTGTTGGCAAACCAGTGACGGTACGCCGGCTCAACCAAACGATGCATTACACGTATCTTTAGAGAAAAAGAGCCGACAGGTGACCTATATGATGTCCTAAAATGAGAGGACGTGCTCACCCACCGCTCTGAGAAACGCCGGCATGGACTGAGCCTTGGTGTCCACGATGAGGTTGAAGATGTCCCGGGATTTGACCTCCTTCAGCACCCGTCGGAAGGTGTCCGGCGAGCCTTGGCGAAGCGTTATGTCGATGTCCATGTTAGACGGTGTCCGTATCAAGTCTTGGAGCTTGACCAGGCCTGAAAAAAACACGCAAAAATAGCTTTTATTGCGGCTCTATCATTTCCAACTAAAACATCAACTTTATCTGACATTTCAATTGACGTAAAGTTTGAATCACGACATCAGTCTGCTAAAATGTCTAACTGACAACTAAATGAACGATGGTCCGAGAACGATGGAACGATGGCATTGAGGCTATTAGCCTGAATTATGACACATCTAGCCAGTAGCTGGATCGGATTTATCGCCTTATGGCGTTTCTTGCCCTCGCTTATAAGACATTAAAATAGACAAGTGCTAATTCGAAGCGGGTTTCGCCGTTCAGGAACAATTTTGTCTCCTGTTAAGAAGACAATACAATCGTTGTGTTCGCGAGGACTGTGCCACACCGGCCTATGCGCCACTAAATCACGCTCCATTCAGGTTCAGATGCGTGCATGAATTACGCATTTAGCGTTTCTTTCTCGCTGATCCACTAATGCTCATCCCCTCACCCTACCACCTCTATCCCTCCCTCCCCTCTCCTCCCCCTCTATCGACCGCTGGCGCCGCTCACCGTGCTCCTCCTCATAGACGATGGCCACGCGGGTCCAGTTGAGGAAGGCCATGACGTCCCTGAGCGCGGCGTTCATCAGCGGCTGGTGCGGGTGCAGGTTGACGCTGAACTCGCGGCTGTGCCGCTCCACGTCCAGTCGCGTCTCCACGTGCGGGATGTCCAGCGCGTCACAGATGGACTGCACGTGCGCGCCCAGCTGCGGGTCGGACGGGCCGAAAATGGCGTACACCCCCTGGTCGACCAGGTGACACGCTGAGGGGCACAGCGTGGATGTGGTTAGCCCGGAGAGGGAATGTCCACGGAGCTGTGCCCTAGGTTGTGGCTAAAATGCATACACATACGTAAGTATTTACCATTGTGCCTAAATGCTAGCTACCACCTCTATCTGGCTTACTTTAGGTATCAGTGTTCTTAGCTAGCACAACCACTGATTGCATCGGAAGCTCTTCATCACTCTGCAGAATTATGCACTAAAAAGGGCGGAAATGTGGAGAGAAGGTGGTCCCAGGAAATGAGCACAGACATCAGGCAATGGGACGTGAACGGACGACAGCAAAAACTGCGGAACAAACCCCGGAGAGTTCCACTACGAAGGGGATGCGAGAGAACATGGAAAAGAGGGGTCTGGTTCCATATCAAAACCAGCATAGTCGTGGTTTTTGGGACTGTGTAACCATGTTCGCAACAAAAATTCACATTGTGAAAGCAAACATTCAATGATCATGGGGATAGTCAGGAGGATAGCCCGCACAGTTCCTCCTCTGCCCTGATCAAAACATTGCCTCTGCCTTGATGCACCCGTGCCTGTCGTTGATGGCTTCAACCAATGTTTTGCTCATCCCCGTCACCGAAGCGCACGAACACACAGCCATTTGGTGTTCCGCCCAAATTAGGTTTGACGGTTGTGGAACAAAGCTTGGCAGCCCTCAGGCGCCACGCCCGGTAAACAGTTACGGCGCAATTAGAATATTAAATTAGCCGGCATAACAAGAGGGAGCGGAGTTTTACGCTCCTTTAGTCCCACTACAAAGCCGGGAATGGCTGGAGAGTTTCCTCACAGCTACAAACGATAAACGGTGTAAACAAGCGAGAAACGCGTTTGCATAACATTAGGAATCGGCTGGAAGTTTGCGGTGATGTTTGGGTATCGATCGATCCAAGAGTGGCAATAAAATGATGAGGGGGTGGGAAATCGGAAGATGAAAACGATTTTGAGCAGATGACGCATTTAGAAAAAAAAGACACAACTGATTGTGAAAGCCCACCAAAAGGTTGTGTTTATTTTATTTTTTCGTCGAATAAAATAATTTGCGATTATCAGTGCTTTTACCATGATCAATTCTTAATTTCAACTCCACAAAAGTCAATAAAGATGTTTTTTTTTATTCACAGTGTCGCGACCGGGGGGTACTGTGCGTTTGTTGCCTAGCAACGAAATTGTTGTCATATTTTTGTGCTTAGAAAATTAAGGAAAAGGGGGCTTTTTGGATGAGAAACTGATGGAAACGGGGTCATTATTATAGCTCATTCTGAAACAGTGAAAGTAAATATGCAAAGCCAAGGTCAAGGACGATGCATTCACTGATTAACAAGTGTCAAAGTGACATTCAAGAAAGGTTTATCTTTATGTTTCAACTTATTTCTTAGTTCTCGTTAGCCGCAATGTGCGACTTTTGGAACGGTGTTTTTCATTTCGATCAAGGAGCGAAGTGGATCAAGCCTGTACCAAAATAAACATTGATTTCGAAAGTGCATTTGCGGCATTAAGTTTCATATTTTTTAACGGCTAACGGTGACAGTTCCAAAAATGTTTGCAAAACTCTAAGATGAACTGCACAGCATAAGTTTAAGAGAAGCTGCTCAGATATAAAGTAGCATGATGCAAACCAATGTAGCGTCTGAATTCAAGTTATCAACTTTGATTAAGATACACTGATTTATTTGCACCAATCATGTCAGCATCTGATTTCAAAAGGAAGCGTGGGAGGATGCTGTCAAATCTCACCAGAGTAAGAAGACGAGCCCTAGTAATGATTGAAAATAGAGGCTCTAGGACGCAGCTGGTCGACATGCTTAAGGAGCTGGACGCTGCACTTGAGTCTTTAGAAGAAGTGAACGAAGAGCTCAAAGAAGCAATAGCAGAAGATGAAGCACTTGTTCAAGAAGCGGTCGATTACATGAAGGTTGCAGAGCAGCAACACGACGAAGCATATCAATGCATACGAGAATATTTGAAATCCAGACAAGGTGAAACACCATCTATAGTGTCGGGCTCAATTCAGTCTCACCAGTCCAGCAGCTCGTTAGCTGCTCGAAGCGCTGACATTGCTTTTCAAGTGAAAGAAAAGGAACGTAAGCTTCTGGAGCGGCGACACCTGAGAGAAAGGGAAGAACAAGAGTTGCGAAGAAAAAATGAGCTTCAAGCCGCTAAAGATGCCGAAGAGTTAGCCAGGCTAGAAGCGCGCCTTACCGCAGCTGCTGAGAGTGAGCTCAGCTGGGACCGCAGAAAGGATTTTGATGGTGAGGCATCCGCAGTTGAAGAGCAAGGAGCTCAAACCGAAGGCGATTCCCCAGCTGAAAAGGAGTCTGAAGATGACAGCCCTGAAGTGCATGTGCCTATTCTGCCGTCCAGCGCCCGTCCTGTGCCAACGCAATCTGAATCTCTGTTCGCAAGAAGTCGGGTGCAGGATGAAACACCACAAGATGCTGCACGGCAGTCACCGTGTAAGGCCTCACGGTGGTGACCAGAGAGTCATAGCCGCAGTAACGGGAAACCGACCAGCAGAGGGAATGACGCTTCTCCAGATAGTTCCCGTTCGAGTGCACGGCCAAGATGGAAGATTTAGAGACACGCTGGCCCTGCTAGATCCAGGATCTCAGACCAGCTTATGCTCGGAAGCAATCATCAGAGATGTGAAGATTTCAGGCGAAGCGCAGTCGCTATGCATCGAAAATGTTGAAGGACGAGGAAGTACCAAGAGGTCTGAAAGGGTCCAGCTGACTCTGAGTCCTTTGTGCGAAGGTCAAGATGTTGACCGCAAGATCCTTGTTCCTGAAGCGTTCTCTGTGCCGCGAGTAAACGTCCGAGCACAGCACATTCCTAAACGATTGAAAGATGACTGGAAGCATCTACAAGGCATAAACATACCTGACTGCTCACAGGGAACAGTGGAGGTGCTTCTAGGCGCTAATGTCCTTGAAGCCGTTCTTCAACGCGAAGCCAAAGTTGGACGAGCAGGAGAACCGGTGGCGGTGCGCACGGCATTTGGCTGGACGTTGACCGGCACGATCGCTGGTTTCGTCCCACCTCAAACCAGAGAGGTGATGTTCATCCACCGTGCGGACACAGAAGACAGGCATCTCGGAGAGTGTGTCGAAGAGTGGTGGAAGACTGATTCATTTGGCACGAAAGTTGAGCTCAAAGGGGAAGCTTCAGCAGAAGACCTGCGGGCATTGCGTCTCCTAGATACATCAGTGAAGAAATGCGGAGACCGATACGAAGCAGGACTTCTTTGGAAAGGCAAAGATCAGAGAATGCCTGACAACAGAGCATCAGCCATGAGAAGACTTCAGAGCCTTGAGAAAGGCTTGTTACGTAACCCGGAAAAGGCTAAGGCGTATGAAGCCGAGCTCCAAGCTTATGTTGAAGCGGGGCACGCACGCAAGCTGTCTCAAGAAGAAGCCGATCAGCGTTTGAAAAAGCGCTGGCTTCTACCACATCACGCGGTAGTAAACCCCAATAAACCCAAGCTGAGGGTAGTCTTTGATGCTGCAGCGACACACCTGGGAGTGTCCCTGAACAGTGAGCTGATGAAGGGACCGGACATGCTGCAGAATCTGGTTGGAATTTTGCTCCGCTTCAGAGAGGAACAGACTGCCATGGTAGCAGACATCAAGAAGATGTTCCACCAGATCAGGATTCGCCAGGAAGACCAGCCAGCATTAAGTTTCTGGTGGCGAAACCTTGACACCACACGACAGCCTGATATGTACCAAATGCAAGTAGCAATATTTGGCGCGAAGTGCAGCCCAGCGATCGCAAATTTTGTACTACAGAGAGCGGCAGAAGACGGCTGCACTGGCACAGAAGAGTCCACAGCAGCCAAGAAAGCGGTTCAGACCAGCTTTTACATGGATGACTTCGTCAAGTCAGAATGTTCCAGTGAAGCTGCACTCAATATGAAAAGAGAAGTCTCCAGCATCCTCGCCAAAGGAGGGTTTTGCCTCACGAAGTGGATGAGCAATGAGGAGAGGGTGCTGGCTGAAGTCCCGGTTGATGAAAGAGCTGTCTTGAAGATAGACTCTTCGGGCAAGTCGTACTGCAGCGTTTTAGGATGCAAATGGACCCCGCAGGACGACTACCTGGCCGTCAAGTGTAGCGTAGTCGCGGTGCCGCCGACGAAGAGAGGAATCCTGAAGCAAGTCGCGTCTATGTTTGATCCTTTAGGGATCGTGGCGCCCTACACACTAGTGGCGAAGAAACTGATCCAGAGTCTCTGGGAAAGAAAGCTAGGCTGGGATGAAGGAATCACAGGAGAAACCCTACATATCTGGAGACGCTGGCAAGAAGAGCTTCAGCATGTTGAGGACGCATGTGTTCCACGGTGGTATGGCGCGCCGGAACAAGAAGTTGACGCTCAGTACGAGCTGCACATGTTCAGCGACGCCTCCGAATTAGCGTTCGGTACCGTAGCATACATCAGAGTATTGTCCAGCGGCTACTATCACAGTCGCTTTGTGATGGCTCGCACTAGGCTCGCACCTCTGCGACAGCTGTCGATAGTCCGACTTGAGCTGCAAGGTGCCGTCATGTCAACAAGAGTAGCCAGTCTTATCAAAAGGGAAATGAACTACAACTTCAAGCGAATCGTCTTCTGGACAGACAGTCAAGTGGTGCTGCAGTTTTTGAAGAACGAAAGTCGGCGATACCACACATTTGTGGCGAATCGTGTATCTGAGATTCACGACACGACAAGCCCAGATCAGTGGCGCTTCGTGCCAGGCTCAGAAAATCCGGCAGATCTCTGCTCAAGAGGAAAGTCTCTGTCAGAGTTGAAAAACCAGCAAGAGTGGTGGCTAGGCCCAGCGTTTCTAGAAAGCAAAGAAGAGCACTGGCCACCACAAGAAGACGTAGGAGACATCAGTCCAGACTGTGTAGAAGTCAAGAGGTCAGCAGCCATCTGTGCGACAAGTCATGCTAGTTCACCAAAAGAAGAGATCACTTCTCTACTGTCCCAGCTCATAGACCCGGCGCGGTTCTCTTCATGGACTCGTTACAGACGCATTGTCGCATGGATAAGGCGATTCATCAGCAACGTGAAGAGCAAGGTTGCTGGCACAGAAGTCATTGATGGTCCACTACGCAGCGCAGAAATTGATGCGGCTGAAATCAACATAATAAAGGACGATCAAGAAACCTGCATGAAACAAGCTAGTCTCGACCACCTGTCTCCATTCCGAGATCAACACGGCCTCATGAGAGTTGGTGGGCGCCTGAGCAAGACTTCGTTAGACGAGTACACGAAACACCCCGTCATTCTTGACGCCAAGAGTGAGATCACCAGACTGGTCATTGTCGATGCACATCAGCGAGTCATGCATTGGGGATTGGAAAGAACACTTTGTGAGCTGAGATCGAAGTACTGGGTGCAACGGATGCGGTCAGCTGTGAAGAAGTACCTGTGGAAGTGTGCATTCTGCCGTAACCGCCGCGCCTCGCCTCAGCCACCCAGGATGGCAGACTTGCCAGAGGCCCGTCTAGACATGAGACGTCCGTTCAGCACAGTCGGACTCGACTTTTTCGGACCTCTGACGGTGAAGAAGTTTCGAAAGACAGAAAAGAGATATGTGCTGCTGATCACATGTCTCGCCACTCGGGCCATCCATTTGGAGCTAGCTGCTTTGATGGACACCAGTAGCTTCATCATGGCACTGCGCCGCTTTATCGCACGAAGAGGTAGACCTCGAACTATCTACTCGGACAATGGCACTAATCTAGTCGGAGGCGAAAGAGAACTGCGAGAAGCCATCGAACATTGGAATCAGGCACAGATATCCGATGCTTTGAGTCAGAGAAACATCCAGTGGGTGTTCATCCCGCCAGCCGCCCCGCATATGGGCGGTGCATGGGAGCGTCTGATCGCCTCGGTGAAGCGCTCCCTCAAAGTGGTTCTAGGAAACAAATGCGTCTCGGAGGACGTTCTTCAGACGACCCTAGCGGAGGTCGAATTCATGATCAACGGCCGTCCTCTGACCTACATTAGCAGTGATCCTCAAGACCCCGAACCTCTTACGCCCAACCACTTCTTGTTGGGCTCATCTGATGGAAGAGAAGGACTACCGCCAGGGGTATTCAATGATGCTGATGCTGATGTTGTTGGACGGAGGAGATGGCAACAAGTACAGATCCTCGCTGAACATCTGTGGAAAAGGTGGCTCAAGGAGTACCTTCCTACGCTGATAAACAGACAGAAATGGAAGACAGAGAAGAAGAATCTGCAGATAGACGACGTAGTTTTGGTCGTCAACAGTCAGAGTCCTAGAGGATACTGGGAATTGGGACGCATCACAAGAGTCTACCCAGGCTCTGACGGAGGAGTCAGATCAGCGGAAGTGAAGACAAAGAGTGGGACGTATGTTCGCCCGACAACGAAGTTGTGTCTCTTGGAGAGTCTCAACTAAGCCTCTAAATCGGAATCATCGGAGAATCCGTGCGACGGGGTGCACGGCCAACTGGCCCAATATGTGATGCTCATGTGAGACGAACCGTGAAAGTAATGTTGATCTTGATGGAGGGGGTACGTTCTGTGTTCGAAGACATTGATAATGATCCGCGTGGCTAGCACCCACATTTGTGACCTGCGTAAGGTCAACGCGAGCCGTGACAGAATCGGCATGGGCCGTTAGTGCTCAGAGCTGACACGGTGTGGTCGTTAAGTGCAGAGTGAAAGACACCGAGGGGTGTCAGGAACGTGTGGCCTGTATCGCGAGTGACATGTTTCGTGTTCCCCCTTGTGAACACTGGTGGGGGAGGATGTCGCGACCGGGGGGTACTGTGCGTTTGTTGCCTAGCAACGAAATTGTTGTCATATTTTTGTGCTTAGAAAATTAAGGAAAAGGGGGCTTTTTGGATGAGAAACTGATGGAAACGGGGTCATTATTATAGCTCATTCTGAAACAGTGAAAGTAAATATGCAAAGCCAAGGTCAAGGACGATGCATTCACTGATTAACAAGTGTCAAAGTGACATTCAAGAAAGGTTTATCTTTATGTTTCAACTTATTTCTTAGTTCTCGTTAGCCGCAATGTGCGACTTTTGGAACGGTGTTTTTCATTTCGATCAAGGAGCGAAGTGGATCAAGCCTGTACCAAAATAAACATTGATTTCGAAAGTGCATTTGCGGCATTAAGTTTCATATTTTTTAACGGCTAACGGTGACACACAGCATAGATATAGATTTTGTCGATTCCTCATGTTGCTCAGTTCCGCGGCTGCCAAGTCCTACAGTAATATCCCGTGTGGCTCATCAATACCTCATCACGGACCTGGCAGCTCTGTGTCTGTGGGTGGGTGCCCTCGCTGGTCGCTGGCTCTCTGCCCCAGCTGATGGACCCCTGCCCCCCCCTCCCCCTAGGACAGAGGCGAGTGGTGCCATTAGCTGACGTGGCGGTCCGACCGACCCGATCGGCGGAGGTGGTGGACCCACGGCGGTCACTGGCGTACTGTGATTAACCCGAACAGAGCCGGGGAGGCGTCAGACCGGTCACAGCGGTCGACAGGTCCTCTGCGGAGTGTCCCTGATCACCTAACGGCCATTTATCAGTCCACGTGAGGCTGAACCAGGATTGACGGACAAAAACACTGACAGGTATGTCCTACTAGGACGATAGATGAAAACATAGATGGCATTTCGACAATCATCCTTTGACTGGAATCGGTAATTTATCGTCACAAATCACCTTATAACAAATTGAGGCAAGTTTGCGAATTTTTGCTAAGCATACAGCCTCGCAGGATTAACGCATGGGTTATCAGATGCTTGGGTGCCTGTTTAAAGTCACATCATTGCGGCGGCAAGCGCGACAGCAGTTGATGGTTCTATTTTACGTCACATTTATGTCGTAATGGGGCTGAAAACAGAGCTGGATGCTGTTGTCGCTTTCGAGTCCAGGTTACATATAAATGTAGGCACTAACGCTCATGTATGTATGTAAGTACGTTGTAGAAAGTAAATTTCCTGTGATAATAATATAACCAGCAAGGTTTCTCGCAATGTGATTGAAAGTAACTATATCTGTGCGAAATTAATCGGTAAGAATTTCGCCATGAGCTATGATGAGTTGCTGGCTTTGCGGAAATGCGCTGGTCCCATCAAAATGGGCGCTGCATATTCCCTTCAATCTATTCATGATCTTCTCATCGCTAATTATATAAGATGGGACAGTGTGGCTCTCTGCAGTTGCCGCACCAGGCGCACATCTATCTTCGCCCGGGGACGGCGGACGAAAACCGCGCACACTCGTGATGAATGACATTCCACAGCCGTAAAAACGCCCACAGAACGCCGCGATATTAGTCTGGTTTTTATCATCACTGCTTTGTAACAAAGATGATGACGTATGCTTTTCCCAAAGGAGGCTCAGTGTACATACACCAGACTCACTCGGCGGAAGAACGTTCTTGGGTTACCGGAATTCGGTTAATTATTCCATGAAAAGAAAAATGATCAAACCTACATAGAATAGCCAGCCGTCTATGGGTATAGTCCGTGGAATTTCAAGCCAAAACATGGCTTATAAAAGAAGGTATGCTATTTTGACATCTTATGTGATCTTCACTTCCACATTACCAGCTTTTTATGTGGTTTTCTATTCACTCGTGATAGCCCGCAGGCAGAACGCAGTACATATGTGTTCCTTTAGTTACGATCACCGTCTTACCGATTTTGGCCGTGTGGAAGCTGTTGTCCCTCGGCGCGTACTGGATGTAATGGGTGAGCGTTGTGTTGGGCAGGATGTTCTCATCCTTATTCACTCGCAGCACGGCGTATTTGAAGGCCATCTCCACTGCACTGTCCCGCTGGTCCTCGGTAAAAATGGCACCTGAAACAGACGGTCAGAATTTTATCAGGGCAATGTACAGTGTAAACTTATTTGCTCTCAAGCTAACTAGTTAAAGGCTTTTCAAAACGTATCTAGAATGGCTACCGTAGTTCACGCATGGAAAATGTTTATTGTCATGTGACTCATACGCGTGTTCTTTGAATTGAATTGCCAAAGATATCGACACTGGCACATGTACGTTAATGTGATGAACTTTGGCACATAGCGACACCATCGTCTCCTGTGACACATGTCACGTGACGCACAAACTTCGTTACGCCTGACGTCTGCTGCATTCCTGGAACAGACGGCCGGGAAAACCACGGCACTGCGCCTCACCGCTGAGACATTGACAGCTCTGTCAATGAGACCGTGACAGAGCGAGGGGAGGGGCGTCACAGACCCATCCACCGACCATTAATCCCGGCCAATCATGACAAATCCACGTCTCATTAGGCCCGTCAGATTACCATGCCCTATTGGCGACCCCCGGGAGCGCCCTCGCTGAAATGGGGAGGGTAGGGGAGAAGTAGCGCCATGACCGGCTCCCGTGCCCCGGGGGATTTGTTAGCAGACCGCCGACATGACATGTCACATGAGTACGGGCACGCTGGTGGTCGGGGTGTTTAAAACTCCAGGTCCAAAGATGCACATATAGGATACAGACTCAACTCGCATGCTTTAGATGAGAACAGCTTCGTTCTTGGTCAACTTTTGATTGCCTTGTAAGTTAGAGCGTCCTAAGGAGATCCCACCGCTTGAATCGTTGGACACAAGACCCTTCCAGAAGAGAGCTTATACAAGTTATTTCAAGTGTAGTTAACAGCTGCCAGCTTGCCGTATGAAATGCGCAGGTGCTGCTGCTCATCGCGCTCTTATTTATCATTTATAAACATTGTGCTATCTAAATTTCATACATCGTTTATAACAGATGCAATGCATACCTAGCCGCTTCACTAGCTCGGTCTGCGATGCGGGGGCCTGCTCTTCTGCGGCCGTCTTATATAACACGTTGCAAACACCTCAGTCAAACGATCCGGGCCGAGGATATGTTCGGTGCATCATTTGAGATACCAATATCAATGTATAAATTTTCTTGTAATCCTTGCTATATAGGTAGGCACAACCGATTGCCACTGAGAGATTAGCAATTCAGCAATACCGCTATTTCGACAGATAAAAGAGGTTTAGCTTCAGAGCAGCCTCAATGCTGATCCGTCTAATTGAAGTTGGACCGAAGAGACAAAACAGACCTTCAGCCACGTGGGCAGATACTCGAGACAGCATACGGCCTTAGCAGAGCGTTAGTATGTAAACAAAGCGGCTCGGGCGGGGACCAGACCCAATGACCCGAGCGCATCCCCTAACCAGGCAAAACTCACGGCCCTAACCGACGTAACCCCTGACCGGGCGAGACCCCCGACCCGAGCAAAGCACCCAGGTCCTGTGCATTGCACAGAACCTGTGGGCCTCCGATTTCTACCCTATTGTGAGCAGGCACCCATTGTTGTTCTCTCGCCTATCGCCGGTCGCCAAATCCACCGTCAGTGTACGTGGATCTCGTCTCCTCCCTCCGCTCCACATTCGGAGACGACAGAGGAGCCTCGCTATCAGTCGGCGGGGGAGCGATAGCGCCGGTGAAATGGAGCACAAGGCGATGATCGTCCCATCGGAGCCAGACGAGACGGCCAGGTTGGTGGTGGCACCGGTCCATCTCTGCCGCCAACTGCCGCCAGATGTACCGGAAAACGCCCCGCATATATCGGAAACGCTGAGACCAAGCGGCACTGTTCAGCTAGACGAGATTCACCAATTTGCGACATTCTTTGGCTCAAAATTACCTCCTTAGAAATCTTAAATAATATCACGGCGTGTGGAAGAGAGCCAAGCTTTGATAAGGAAGGAATTCCTCCTTTCGTAATTTACAGCCGTTCTGGTTGAGACTTTTCGAGCAGCGGCGAAGACAAAAAGATCCCTCGCTAACTCCGTCGGCGCTGAAAACGGCTCTCGGGCGCGTGCCACCGCTCCCCGCGCCTCATTTGCCAGTGAAACAGAACAAAAAGGCCCCAGTGGCCGAGCGAATGTACTTTTTGTTCGTCATCACCGCCACCAGCGAACGTTCTGCCGTCCGGTAGCGCGGATCAGCCGTTGTCCAGCGCACAGCCGTCACTCTAGGGCTGCCACAGCGGTGAACAGCTGACCGAGGGCTGCCACAGCCCTGCCTGTGGGCTGTCACAGTCCGTCTGTGAGCTGTCACAGCGGTGAGCAGCTGACCGAGGGCTGTCACAGCCCGTCTGTGAGCTGTCGCAGCCCGTCTGTGAGCTGTCGCAGCGCGTCTGTGAGCTCTGGCACAGCCGCAGGTCTGACTCAGCTCCCGCCCCGGGAGGTTTCTCAGCGACCCTTCAGGTGGGTATCCCGATCGTCCACCAAAACGGAGAAACGGCGCCTCATTCAGCGCTGAGAGACCTGGAGTACCCGACTCAGCCTGATATTGGCCGGACGGGTCGAGAGCCACTTCCGGAGTGATCCTTGCCACGTGCAACAGCCCTTCAGACACACCTACCGGCTCAATAACCTATCTGGACGCAATTCTGAGAACCTATCTTACACACTTCAACTTCGTCACTGATTCCACTGTCGTGGTGTCCAACGGATCAGACAGCTGCATCTGAGTGGATGATGAAATCGTATCGGCGTCCACGGCAACGGATTGGATACAATGTTCCGGTTATGCGTATATGCATTTCGTGTATGTGCCTTTCGATGGGATCTTTCAATATTCAGATTACAACTACATAGAGGGCTCAGAACTGAAAGGAAAGCATACATGACAAGGCCTCTGTAACAGCACCTACCGAGGGAGGTGCGGCGCGTGTTAGGATACGCGCTGTTGTCCCTCACTGGCACCCGCGTGACACGGGCGCCTCGCAGCGACCCTGGGGTGGCGGCCATCCGACCGGCGACCAGCCAGCCGGAAACCCGCGCTGATGGATCGCGATGTGCCCCCCCCCCCCGTCCATCCCACCCCCCCCCGCGTCCCGTCCCGCGGCTGGCCAGTAATGACGCATCCATTGCCCCAATCGGGCAACGGCAGACAGAGATGACAGGAGCGGCCGAAATGCTCAGTGATTCTGGGTACTCTGCTGCTGTTGACTGTTGATAGTCGTCTTCTGTCACGCTGCTGCGTAACATCATAAACACTTAAATATATTCATAAAATAAAGATATTTGCTGTAAAAGAGAGTAGGTGCAGATTTAGTCAAATTAGGTGCACTCGCCGGATAGCCCGTCGTGAAAACGGTATTAGCTGCGATAAATTTAGTCCATTAGATGCGTACTCGACAAATGTATTGATTACATAACACGCCTCAACAGACGTCATGACAGACATCTTCGTTTTTTATTATGATTGCTGGCCCCGCCTGTCGGCTGATTGCCAATGACCAGTCCTGATCAGGGACTTCCTGTCTGAATGGTTTTCAGCCCCGGCCGAGCCCCAACTGGACCCTTTTTGCCACATCTAGCGGCGATAAACGGCTCAATGTGAGCCAGTTGACCGTGAAACAATCTAGGGAGCTCCCGACGCGATGTCGAAATCGCTACAGCAGTGACTCGCAGCGAAATGTATTGAACAGTGACCAGCATACGACTGTTTTGATTGGAGCAGCGATAGACGACTGGTGGAGAATCTGGGGCTACTTTTGATCGGGCTTTTCCATGGAAAGGACTTAAGTTATTTATAGTTGGTAGAAAGAAAATGTTTTGTCAGCAACAACTTAGTATGTACCACTTCGCACTTTCTCTTTGCTCGAGTCCGTCGTCAAAACGGTCTTTATATTCCATCAAGTGCTGAAACATGCTGCAGTGCTGTCTAGTGTCTCCTTGCATGACGTCACGTTTTCTTAGACATGCGGGTATTCACATGCATCATAGCTAATAGCCACGCATTTGGAGCCTTTCTCCGTTGGCGATGGCGGCTCGTTAGCCTTTCAGCCAGCCGAAGCCGCCACTAATGGATGTTTTCTGAGTAAACCCATCTGAGTTCTGACAGAGGCCATGACTGACGACTGAGCTGCGACTCAAATGGACCCGACGATGGTGACAGGCCCTAGTACTCTTATCTCACGAACTATTTCCTTATTTAAGCATTGTTCGCCATCGTCAGCACTATTTGTCATGGCGAGTAAGGAGTTGTGGCCTCGTTATTTATTTTGGATGATGCGCATATTTTTACGTGCGGCTTTATGTACTCGTCAGGACTGGTAAAATCAGCATGGCTATTGGCTAGCCTCCATAATCTATCGAATGTGTTTGTACCTCACCCTCACATCATTCAATGCTTCCCCACCCTGCCATGGCAAAAGTTTCGCAGCGGTTTCCGCATCATCGCAAACACCACCAGCGGCAGCACCAGCACCATTGATAGCATCAGCACCATCATCAGCAGCACCAGAAGGACCAGTCACTGATGCTAAAGTTACTCAATATGGGAGTGCCGCTTTCTTGACGCACCGCATCTCATCAGAGCGCGCAGACCTCAAGTTCCTTAGTCATTACTTACTGACAGCGATCGACTGCGAGGTCACGCAACTTGGCCGTCAGACCAGTCCTGGCCCGTCTGCGTACTCTTTGGTCAGTTGAACCCCCCTGCAGCTTGTGTTTGCGCCTCGTATGTTCGGGTCTCGGTGTTCAGGTCTCGTAGTTCGGGTCTGGACGCTCGGATCACATCGTTCGGGTGTCAGTGTTCGGGTCTGGACGCTGGGATCCCGTCGTTCGAGTCTCCCCTGCCGCGTCATTAAGCGGCGAGCTGTTCATTCATCTCCCTGGACCGCCACCTCCCGGCGGCGCCTGAATGGCAGCGCACAATGGTGACGGAGCTGACGACCTGCCGGCCCGCCCCCGGCCGCGCACCAGGTCCCCGCGACCATCACTCAGCACCCCCAGTTCACCCCCCCCCCCCCCCCAAGGCACAGCACCGGGTGTGCGCCTACTTCCTCGGCGGGGGCGGGGGGGGGCTCTCTTGGAGAGTCCACCCTTATTTGGGAATGTGGGCCGTCAGTGTGGACACCAGCCAATCGGCAAATTGGTGGATTTCGGACATTAGTCCGCCAGCAATATGACCTATTGCCAAACATAACGGTCCCACCAGTCATACAGTCGGCACCATACAGTTGATACGCACTAAACGATCTGCACTTGATGCTAATAAAGTTGCTCAAAGGTTTCGTGTATGTCAATTTCTTGATTGAGAACAATAATATATTTTCTTGCGAATGTTACCAAGACGGAAGACTCAAGTTTTCAGACGGAAATCTTTGTTCTTCGGGTCTGTATAAAAGAAGCTGCGATTCTTACATAAAACATAATAAATAGCTTCTGCACTTCCTAATCAAGCTTCTGCCAAGAACTTCATTGATATCACTTGTCGATGAAAATGCGTCGATTTTTATGAATAGGCCGCTAATATATTGAAACCCATCAAAACTACACTCAGAACAATCAAATCCGCCAATTGTCGAAGAAAAAGTGATGCAAACTCACTGTTTTTCAGCATGTTCCACTGGTGCTTTACAATGTCACCTGGGAGTAAAATAAATGCAGCATTCACCCACACACCCGCATCCCTCCGCCGCACTCCGTGGTCCGTTTCCCGCGGCCTCCGCGCGCCGGTCCGCTCCCCAGTTCCACCGCCGTCACCTCCCCGCCGTGCGACCGCTCGCGCCTGTCCGAATGAAATTGGCGACCGCCATCCAATCCGGCTCGCTCTGCTTTCAGTTCCGTTTGTCGAATCAATGGCATGATAAAAAGGAGAGCGTCGTCCGCCTGCCAGCCCTTTGCCGCCCGTGACAGCCGGTAAAACAGCGTCACTGTGCGCTGATGGAGGGTGACGCCCAGTTTCTGGATCTATTTTGCTTCTACGAGAGAATGATTTGGTCGGAGACGTGGGATTTAGTGATAGACAAACTATCTTGTTAATGTTTTTTTTTTTCGGCAGTAAGCAGTTAAAGCTAAAAAGTGTGTCCCCGGACAATGAGAGCCGGTAATTCACAACGTTCAGTGGATTTGTCGCAAGGGTCCCGCAACATCGTGTTATGAAGCTATCCCAAGGGCGTGATTTGTCTCTCAGGAAGGTGTTTTCCGACAAACACAGATGACCGGGGCGGATGGCCGTATGTTAGCCTGTTATTTTTGCCGACAGAGCTAAAAGAGACGAACTCTCCAATGTACGCACAAAGGCAATACTTTCTTTACTCGTTCGCTGCCTCGTGGAATGTATTGATCGCAAGGATGAATATCTTACATGAGATTACGTGGATTTGTTATCAGTCTTCACACAGTTGTTAGAGTGTAACGACTGTTTGCGTATGGTTTTTGCATAACTCTGAGTACTGCATCACTTAGTACCCTAAATTCTTCCGGAAAGACAGCCGGGTTCTCGTGCCCCCCCCCCCCCCTCGCCCGTCGCCGGCGGGTCTCCGTCCCCGGTGGGGCTTCCCGGCTTCTCTGGAGGGGCCGGTCGGTCAGCAGCTACCGCCGCGCCGGCTCAGCGAGCTGCCGAAGCCCCACGGAGCTGCCGCAGCTCTCCACGGCCGCAGCGGCGCCACGAACCGACAGCCGACAGCGCCCAGTTCACAACACAAAACTCCATGGTGTGTTGGGAGGCTTCAGCAGAGACGTGGTAACACATGGGGACAGGCGGACCAACATATGGGACTACTGTTGGTGTCTCAGTAGGCTAAGCGCTTGCCTGTCTGTCTTAGGTGATGTGAACTCCTGGTGGGATCAGGCTGCACTTACCGATTTTGACGGTGGATGGTAGTACGCTGCTGGTGGCGGCAATAAATGACAGCAGAAGTGTGAGGATTGACGTGGTTGCAGATTTCAACGCCATTGTCACTGAAAACAGAGAATCGTATGACATTTTATGTTCCTAATATATGGTGCAGTCAATATTGGTTGGGGTTTAAGTCAATGATGTCCGACATTAGGTAACACTTACCTATGTACAGGCTAGAAAAGTGAATATGAGGCTAAATATAACCAGTCAACCTATTGAAGCAAAAAAATGTAAATGATTACCCGTGCACGTTTTATTCATTCAAGAAAATGTTCGTCCTTCCAAGCTATATTTGAAGAAAGGTGATCAATCACAAACAACTCTGTGTCCTCTTTGGTTCTGAGCCAATAGGTACTCGCTGGTGTTATTCTGGTCTAAACTCATTTCCGGCTCTGCTTCTATGAAGAAGGCCAAGCTAGCTTTTTCAATTTTAACCGTTATTTTGTCACACTGATCCATAAAACCCCTAAGATGACATTTTGAAGAAAAAATCATTGTATGACCAGCATCGAGCCGTCGCGGCTAAAAACACGCCCAAAGTCACGTAGAGCTGCGCCCTAGGAGACGGCAGACTGGTCTCACCTGAGCAAGAGGTGGCACTTGACAGAACTCGATCAACGCGATAAGAGACGCACCTGTGCGTCGCGCAGGGAGGTCCGGGATGTGAAAAAAAAATAATGAAACCATACATATATGCTTTACCGGTAAATCAGTTGAAAATGAAGAAACATGCCCAACAAAAACGTGTCTTTCGTGATTCTTCATCGCCAAAACCATCGTCAAACGATCGTCTGACCTCGCAGTTGTCCGTATGACCCGCGACCGTCCAATAAAATTTACCTGCTTCCGCCTGCGCCAGTGCTGACCTCCACCCTTCCCGCCCTCACCTGACGATTGGCACCTCCTGCCTCCGGCCCACCGGTCCTCCAGCCTCCGGGACGTCGATCCTACAGTCCCCGGCCCGTCGGTCCGACGCGTCCCCGGCCACCACCGACACTGGTGTCGGAGCCGACGCGTCCAGTCGTCGCCACCGACGAGAGGAGAGCGTGCCGCCGACGCGGCGCGCTCGTCCTCCGTCGGACCTGGACTCGCTGTAGGGAGGCACTAGAAGCACGCTCCCTGATCGACGCCGCCGGCACTTAGACTTCCGATGATTTCTGTCGTCGGGATGTATTTGTTGTGCTGCGTGTTGGAGGTGATTGTTCATTCAGATGCTCATATGAAATCACGACAACATTATGCTATTGTTGATCATGAAACGTATGTGTGACGGCGCGGCTGGCATGTGCTGAATGCTAATGCATGTGGTAATGTGGATATACATCCCTTCATGAATTGAACGCTGTCAATGAAATGTAATCAACGATGATGTATATTGCGTATTCGAGGTCACAAAATAACCGAATTTGACGTAACCTTTCCCCAAAAGATATTGTCCATTTACTGATTACGAGCGAGCGAGCGCAGCGAGCGAAGTGAGTCTTTTCAATATAACGGAAAAATCTCAGTATGAGCGGCCCGTCCCGGCCCGGCCTGTAACGCTTTTGAGAGGCTTATATCTCACCAACCGCTGGACCGATTGGCCTGCGGTCTTTTTTGCTGGGTAGCCCCATCCCTTCTTCCCCGTAATTGACTACTTTTGATACATCTCAGTGACCGTCGTGGCACGTGCCACGTGAAAAGTCAAGGGTGTTCAAGCTGTTTTGCAAAAGTAGTGATTTTGAGAGGCTCATATCTCAGCAGCCGCTTGGGCGATTGACTTGCGGCAATTTTTTATAGGGTAGCAGCAACCCTTCTACCCAAAATAGGATAATCTCGATGCATGTGGGTCACCCCCAGTGCACGTGCAAAATACAACAATAAGAGGTGCCAAATTTGTTCCCATTTCAGTAACTCGGTAATTACTGGGGCGATTTCGCTGAAACTTGGCATACAGGTAGGCACCCACCAGGCAATGCATTCCCATGTGTTGCGGTTAGGGTACTACTGCACGTGCGCACGTGCAAGGGGCGTTTCCAGATCTCGAGAACGGCTGGGCCGATTGCGCTCAAATTTGGTACACGGTTGGGGACCAGTTAGTAGGGTGCCGTGCAAAAGTCATATTGGACCCCGTTTGCACGTGCGCACGTGCAGAATGCCGCTTCCAGATCTCAGGAACGGCTGGGCCGATTGCGCTCAAATTTGGCACACCGCTAGCGACCAGTTAGAAGGGTGCTCAAGCCCGTTGGAAGCACCCTCTCGCCCTTCCGCACGTGCAGGGCTCACTATCTCGCTCGCTCGTTCTTCGCCAAAAAGGAGTTTTACTGGTTTATTTACATGGGGCAACTGGCCGAAATGCTGAATGATTTTCATACCCGCCACCATTGCTGACGACGAGGGTCGTTTGGGGCTTCTGTCAATGCATTGCTCACTTTCCCTCTTGGGATCCATCAGTGTTCGGAGTGTAGGTATTCGCAGCGTTAACATCGACCACGCTCATTTGTGAGGGGTCTACATAAAAGAAGATCACTCTACTGTGTGACATGATTGGTACAAATGGGAAAATAATGATGTGATAAGCATCAGCAACATTCTATTTTAGGCGGCTATACGTTGTTGTGATCATTTTGTGCTCGTGGGAGCAGGGAAACGTGAAGGTTTGTATGCATGTACTTGATACCTCCATTGTCAATCTACTTACCAAAGAGTTACTAGCCGTTTTCACGACGGCCATCTGGAACACATTTGGTGCACATTTGGTACAGATTAGGTGCAGATTTGGTCAAACTGTGTTCAGTGTGTCTCTTAGTAGCTATCAGCTAGGGTTGCGCTAATTGCTTATATGCCTGCTTTGCCATATTATCAGAGAAATATATTCATAATATAAAGATATTTGCTGTAAAGGAGATTAGGTGCAGATTTGGTCAAATTAGGTGCACTCGCCGGATAGCCCGTCGTGAAAACGTCTACTATGTGATAGTTGAAAACAATATTCATCAATTCAGTCCCAATGGTTGAATGGTTTGTTACGGGTCTGGGTGCCCGCTAAGCGTGCTATGTTGTGTAACATTACGGATCCATGATCCGCAACGCGCACCCAGTGTAGCGGTATGTAACACTAAGCCAAGAAGTGTAACAATTACCTACCTATATTTCTTATAGCATAAGAGAACCCAGTGGTGAAGTTTTTCATATTTTGGTTCATACGCTAACGACTTGATTTGAAAATATATTTTACATCAGCACCGCAGCTATGTCATATAATCTGTCATGCACATACCCAGTACGCATCTATTGCAGGCCTATATTTGCTCGTCACTCAGGACGGCGTTTAACGTCATGCGAATACCCATCGGCTAAATAGCTTGGTTGTCAGTAACACCAAGTCATGCCAGACGCCGTGCATTGCGCTCTTTTCGTGATGCCTCATGGGGGTTGGCTTTTCCCCTGCTGGAACCAGCAATCATTTACGCAAAAAGCGCTTTCTTTTACATAGTCTGATGCCTTAGCTGTAAATCAAAGCCATCGAGATCGGCCGACGGCCACCACAACCAGCTCAAATGAATAACTACCTCATATTCATGGAAGTGACGATTTCGTAAATTGTCATGGCTGCTTATGCGAAGACGGGCTATATCTACCTCAAGGTTCACAGACTCTAAAACACTGATGCAAAGACGGCCTTGATCACTCTGCCAATCAATCAATCAAATAATCAGGTACAAACAGTCCTCCGTACCTGAAAACAGCCATGTTTTGTGTATAACCCTTATACACGTGCTATTCCTACACACAAGAATATTCAACAAGGTTCCGAGTTCATTCAGAAACAATAGCTACAGGCTGTAAAAGCACCAGCTCTCACCAATCAAGTAACACAATAATAGCATAAGAGCATTGCGGTCAATATGCATACCATACCATTCGATTCTCACAAAGCAAGGTGTAAGCGTCGTTATCACAAACTATGCACGAAGCAGAGGACAAGCGTCAGTATCACAAATTATACACGATCGTTGAGCGGCCCTGTCCCGGCATTGCATCCACTGCGCTCTCCGATTTGATGCCGCTTTCCACGGACGGTTGCAGCCCTGCTCTGCCACGAGACCTGTGAGAGAGTGAAGTCCTCTCCCCGCCCAGTCCTCTCCCAGTGCAGTCCTCCCACGGTGAAGTCGTCTCCCAAAGCGCTGTTCTCCCCGGTGCAGTCCTCTCCTGCACGTGAAGTCCTCTCTCCCGGAGGACCCCGCGCCCTCCATACCTTCCACTGTGCGCAATCCTGTTCCGCTCCGCATCCCGCCGTGCGCGGGCTGCCTCATCGTCTCTTAACCCGCGCCCCGTTGGGCTCTGCCGAGCAACGCGCCCGGTTGGGGGGGGGGGCCATTTTGCCCCCCCCCCCTAAGATCTCGAGAACCACGCAACATAGCGACAAGCGGTAAACGGCGTTGGATAGCCCCAACGGGGAACTACCTTGTGACCCAATTTTATTGACCTAGGTCAAACCGATGACGTCACAGGTCAGGTCAAAGGTCCAATTTTCACCGTTTACAGGCACTTCAAGAAAGGCGTTGTAAAATCGAGTAAAATGCATTTCATTGAAAATCATCGATGGGGAAATGTTCTTCAAACACATATTTTGCTATTTGAGGTCACTGATACCAGGTCAGGTCACAGAGGTCAGGTCACGGGGGGGTCACAATATGAAAGTGTCGTGTGATACATGTTTTATGGTCCATTTTACATGACAAATGCGATTATATGGGTCAGGCAGCCTTTGGGGCCAGCTTAGATCACGTTTTGGTCAAGGTCAGGTCAAGGTCAGGTCAAGGTCAGGTCAAATTAGGTCAAATTTCAAAGTTAATATTTTTGCATAAAATGGGTATCGAATCGATGCAGCTCGTCACGGGGAGTTCAATGGTGGTCTTTGTTTTGCCGTACGAGGTCTAGAATTGCTAAAAATTGAGTTCAAAAATTTGACGTCATCATTTTTGAACAGTTTTTTTCGCTATAACTTGGCCAAAAAACGAGATATCGATCTGAAATTTGGTATGTATATAGAAGAGCGCTGGGACTATCACATATATTCCGGTTTTTTCGAAATTCGGAAAATTTTTGGATTTTTTCAAAGTTTTTCTAAAAAAATCAATTTTTTGATTTTTTTGGGTCAAAAACCAAAAATTTTGAAAATCCGAGATAGCAGTTTTGTAGCGCCGCCTTTTGTCTACTAGACCATATAAAGAACTTTGAAATTGCTTGATAACTGTAGATTTGGTGAGCGTTTCAATATTGCATGTTTTTTGCTCATTTTTGCTCGAACATGACCTCAGTTTGACCTCAATAACTCCTGACCTAAGGTGACCTAAGACTTGAAATTTGGTGTGAAGGTGTCAAATTGATGCCCGGGAAGGTACTGAAAATTTGGCGGCGCTGCGCGCCGCCGTTTTCTTGCTATTCAGGAAAAACCACAGGGGGGGGCCAAAATGGCCCCCCCCCCCCAACGGGGCGAGGGTTAACCGGTCTCTTCGTCCGGCCCTGGCTCAGTGCTCACTGCTGAAACTCAGGTGTCGTGTCGGGTGGTAAGGTCGCGGTTCGCGCCCGTCACATAGTTGATCATGCAGGTGAACCAGCTGTCCACGTGGGGCAGGCCAGCGTAGAACTCGGGCGCCGCGCGCGTGACCGCCGCCAGCCGACAGCAGGGCACGTTGGGGAAGTCGTGGTGCTCGATGTGGTAGCCGGTGTTGAGGAAGAGCCAGTTGAGCGGGCCGCGGTAGCTGTAGGTGACCGCCTGGTTTCCGGGGCCGTACGAGTGGCTGCAGAGCAGTGCTGCCCCGAACGGGTGCAGCGTGCGGCCCAGCAGCGGGCCCAGCGCCAGGTAGGCGGCCGTGCGCGGCCCGCCCAGCAGCAGCGCGCCCGTCACCAGCAGCGCCGACTGCGCGGCGTCCGCCGGGCGGCGCAGCTGGCGCGCGCGCGACGCCAGCGGCGCGGTGAGCAGCAGCAGCAGGCGGCCGGCGCGGCGGCGGCTCAGCGCCACCTGGCGCTCCGACGGCCGGTCAGCGTCCCTGCCCGGCTCGCCCAGGTGGCGGTGGTGGTCGAGGTGTTTGCGGCGCCGGCCGAACCGGTACGGCACCAGCGCCGGAGCGCCCAGCACCCAGGCCAGCGCGTCGTTGAGGCGCGGCCAGCGCGGCCCGAACACGTTGCGGTGCTGGGCGTCGTGCTGCAGGGTGAACTGCAGCAGCCACAGCGAGCCGCCGACCAAGTAGGCGGCGGCCACAACGGCCGGCCAGCAGAAGCGGCGCAGCAGGTAGCCGACGTACAGCTGGGCGGCCACCACGGCGGCAGAGGCCAGCGCCAGCCGCGGCTCGGCGCCCATCAGCGCGCGCACCTGCGGGTGAACCGCTGGAAACGGTAACGGAGGTCAGCACAGGAACAATGACACGGCCAGGGCCCCCTGACACGGCCCTCGCCGGGCCAGGGGGGTTGATGCAACCCCTAAGGTTTTTGGCAAATACCGTAAAACCAGCGGCGCGTAGCGCCGCCAATTTTTAGATGCCCTCTGTGAGAACGTTTTGGCACTCTCCCTGAAAACTTCAGGTCTCAATAGTTTCAGGTCAGGTCACTAGATCACCAAAAACCGATGCAAGGTCAAGGCAAAATTGGGCTAGTTTAGCGGCAACGGAATCACATAGTTTTTTTTCGGTTAATAGCGTAAGAACCGTGGCACATAGCGCCATCAAATTTAAGACGCAGTTTGGGGCAATCATTTGCCGTATGTTCTAGGAGTTTTGAGTTCCAGTGACCTCAGGTCAGGTACAAGGTCACAAAAACTGGTACATGGTCAAAATGGCACTGGAAATACGCTATTTTGTCAATAAAATCTAGAATTGTTAATCGATTTGATTCAAACTGTCAGGGTATGCTAAGCTCACCGAGTTGTATAACCTACATCACAGACTTCTCTATATATATATAGAGAAGTCTGTGCCTACATACATCCAGGTTTTTCAAGTTCAGGTGACCTGAGGTCATGTAGAGGTCGCGACAAATTCCGAGAAAATTTGGCCGAATGGCTTAACCCTCGCTCTGGCAGGGCATTTTTCATAACACGGCCTGGCAGGGGGTTGATGCGAGCCCCCTGCCCATCGCGTTTGGCTCCTATGGCACCTAGCGCACCTAGAAACACCAAATTTGGTAGGTAGGTGGGCCCTCTGGAATTCTTGTGCAAATTTGATTGCTCTAGGTCAATATTTAGGGGGGGTTTGGGAGCATAAATGTAAAAATTCTGCTAAAAACAGGTCAAAAGGTTTTCGCTTATAACTTTTGATATAATTCAGATAGAGCAAAAATAAGAGCAGCATTGAACTCAGCACGTCAAGGCGCGTCGAATGATATACCCAGGGTTACTTTTAAAGGGGGGAAGAGGGGAATTTCCCCCCTTCGAAAATTCCGCTCCCCCTTTCAAATCGTGTCTGAGCGGCTAGGGAGGGAAGGGGGAATTTCCCCCTTTCAAATTTATTTTGGAGCCCATTTTCAATCAATTCGCTATTCAGATTCTATAGTCATCGTTAATCAGATTCTCGTCATCAATCAACGTTGCTGGCGTTAAGATAATTATTAATTTTCAATTTTCGGTTCCATCCAACCATTTTACGTTCAGTGCAGCAGGAACTCCAGATTTGACCCGATACCGATCGGATAGTCGGTGGGACCGTCTCTTGTCTTGTCTCTTCCGTCTTTTCGCAATCACTGACATATCGGTAGGTACAGGCGTCGGCGTAGAAACCGGCGGGGGACGGGATTACCTCTCCGAACCAAGGGTGGATACAGGGGGAGGGGGGCAATGGGCCATGGCCCCTCCTTTGACGCAAAAAGAAGGTGACCCCCTTTTGGACCCCCTTTTATATTCTGTGTTCTTTCTCAGAAACGACCCATTTATTCACGATTATTTTCACTTTTTCATCGACGCCAAGGCCAGACATCTAAAATTTTTGTCCCAATATGACAATGGCCGTGTTTAACCATCCTCCAAACCGGAATCATTGAAGGAAAAACAACGTTATTTTTGTCCCATAGGCATCAAAGCTTTGAGTAATAAATGACTTTTCTCTTTATGCAGCATTCACGTTCATCTGCTTTGCATGCAGAGCAGGGCGCAAAAAAAAATGTATCTCATCACAGCCGGCTTTCCCAATGGAACTTTCACTGCTCACTAATACTAATAGTTATAATTCAAGTTTTGTGCTTCATTAGTTTTTGTTCGGATATCACTGCCCACCTTGTAGTTGTAGAGGTTGCAGTTTTGTAGCGCCGTCGTTTCTCTACATAGTACATACACGACCACACAAAGAACTTTGGAATTGCTCGTTAACTGTAGCTTTTGTGAGCGTTTAAGAATTTCATGTTTTTTTGCTCATTTTTGCTCGAACAGTTTGACATCAATTACTCCTGACCTAAGGTGACCTAAGACTTGAAATTTTGTGCGAAGGTTTCAAATTGATGCCCGGTAAGGTACTAAAAAATTGGCGGCGCTGCGCGCCGCCGTTTTTCGCTTTTCAAGAAAACCCACATGGGGGGGCCAAAATGACCTCCAATCAGGGCGCGGATTAACCTCTCTCTTTAGAAAGGCGTTACTTAACCCTCGCATGTGTAGGGGGGGGGGGGGTCGGATGGACCCCCCCCCAATGGTTTTTCGCGAATAACTCGCGTAAAAAGCGGCCGATCGCGACGAAACTTTCAGTACCCTCGCATTGATCAATTTTACACCTACCCTGAAAATTGCATGACCCTGACCCAAATGACCTTTAACCTGTGACCTCTTTTCCGAGACCATGTTTGGCCGGAATCGCGATTTCGCGTATGTCGGCTCGCACTAGCCGCGTGTTTGCAAGCTTTTCGTGGTTTCAAACGTTCAAACATGTGATTTGATGTTACTCCCGTGTGTGTCAAGGTCACCTGAAGGTCAGGTCAGGTCATTGACCTTTGGTGACCTCGGGTGACCCGAGTTTTACATGTTTCTAGGCTAGTTTTTGGAGCTGAATTCGAATTTAGCAACCATTTGAACATTTACGAAGTAGTTTTGGTGACTTCGTAACATGTTACGAAGCTGTCAGAGGCGGTTGACACGTACTACGAATACCCGTCACGACGCCTACTGGTTGACCTGACCTGACCTGACCCGACCTAGTCTAAATGCTTCAAGACATCATCTGTGATCAAAACTAACACGATATTCGTGATCAGCACCCCGAAAAACCCCTTAGCAGCCACACTTTACGACTTTCTAACAGGTCCCGATTTTCCCGACTTTGGGTCATTGACCTGACCTGGAAGGTCAACCAATGACCTAGGACCTTAAAATTGGGTATCATCGGCTTCCTCTCGTCACGGGCAACACGCTCGTTTTTTTTTCCGCGAAGCTCTAGCTCGATCAGGGGCCAAACGGCAAGGGGGGGGTCCAACCGACCCCCCCCCCTACACATTAGAAGCTGGCAAACGCCGCACACATGCGAGGGTTAATGTTTGGCCGGGGTATACCTACTAGTTATTGATACCACTGATAGGTTGATACTACTGATTGGCATTTGCAAGGGCGCAGTCAAGTTGGGACCTCCCCCGCCCCTTACAGCCAAGGTAGGTGCGTATATTTTTTAGCAAAATTATTTTTTGGCAACCTTCCAAAATAAAGTGGCTGAATGAAACCCGAGGAAAGAATAGGATTTGGGGGTAGGTAAGGTTCTGCGGGCTCCATCCTAACGAAAAACCTAATGGTATTGCCGCCCACCCCCCCCCCCTTTCAGATGCCCCTGGATCCGCCTTTGCCCCGAACTTTATTCCCCCTCTCAACTTTTCCTGTAAAAGTAACCCTGGATATACCTACTTTTTTCTTACTTAACCCTCGCCCGCACATTTTCCCATCCTAGAACGTTGCCAATAGATATGTCAATCGGATACCAACTTTTTGGTATACCGATACCAAACCGATACCAACTCAGTATTTGGTATTTCAATCCTAATGTGTTTGGTATTTTGTTGGTATCATGAACCCTCGCTAATGTTTAAGAGGCTAAGAAATAGGTAAAAATTTGTTATTTTCCTCATGTTCCCAAGTTGGTTTGGTTTCGGTATTTCTCCACGGTTTTGGTTGGTATTTGGTTTGGTATCGGTATTCCGATTTTCCGTAATTGACATCACTAGTTGCCAACCCCGCGCCATTTCGTTCCTGCTTGAGATAAAGCTTCGCGGTAAAGACCAACAGATTCTTTGGGAAGAGACAAATCCAATGGTAGGTAGGTACCCAATTTTACCTCATTAGGTCAATCATTGACCTTCCAGGTCAGGTCAAACTAAAAATGTTGCTGCTTGGAGCCACCGTTGGAATATCACGTGCGGTGCCCATCATATAGCGATGGCGCTGCCGTTTGTGGTGCCAAGCCAGCTAGAACAGCTATTTGTCACGCTATCTGACTAGGTTTTCACTGCCTGTGGCCTCGACCTGAGATTCATCCAGATATGGTCCATATCACTTATTGAGTGTGCCTATTGAATTCTAATGAATAAAATGATTCATAAAACATGTGTCGCACATGCCCTTTTCTATATTTCGTTTTTGGTGACGTGACCTGACCTTGACCTTGACCTTTGCATAATATTGTATGCAACGAATATTGTCTTGGTAGCCTAAGAACACGTTTTGGGCAATCAGTCTCAGTCCATTATTCGGCAACTACGGTGCAAGGCCGATAATACATATATTGCAGAAACTTGCATTTTGTACCCTTGACCTGACCTTCATCTGACCTCTGACCTACTTAGGCAAAACAAAAAATTAGGCTCAAGATCCGCCTTGTTGAGAGCTTTCGATTACCGTTTACCCCGTTTTTCTACGACCATCGGTTAGGAAGTTAGACAGGAAGGGCAGAATCTGCCCCCCCCCCCCCAGCAGGGAGCGTATGACTGAATAGCCCAGCGGGGCGCGGGTTAACATTACGACGTAATGACCTCTAACTGAGCTCATGTCAGTGACATAAAAAACGAACGATATGTTATAGAACTCGGTGAGCTAAGCAAATCCTGCAAGTATGAAGGAAATCAGTCCAAAACTGTGAGCTGGACAGGTGCACAAAGAAAATTGAAATTTTAACCCTCGCCCATGTAGGGGGGGGGGCTGGTGCAACCCCCACCCCCCTGAGGTTTTTCTTAGCTACACGCCGAATCGTTTCAGATAGCCTGCTCAAATTTTCAGTACCCTTTGGGGCATCCTTTGCGCAACTTTTGTTTTTTTTTGTCAAGGTCATGTCAGGTCACGGAGTTATGACGTCATAAAGGGAACAACTTCCGGCCAGATTTACACTAAATTGGAGATTGCTTTACATTGGCATAAATGCCGACTGACCTGACAC